TGTCAATGTTTTTAAACAATTGTTTGTTGTAATCCATTCCTATTTCTAAACCTCAAACTCGTAGAATGTTTCTCAGACATAGAGAGAGTCAACGAAATTTTCTACTTTAAGGCTCAAAAGATTAAACTGTATACGTGGCTGCAATATTTCTTTTCTAAATACTACCGCGTCTCTATCTCCTCCTTGCTCCACCTCCCATCACAAGTTGCCACACCTCAATAAACTACATATATGATACGTCACAAAAAGCTATTTTTAAAAATTTCATCCACAAAACATAAAAGATCACCATGAAATACTTCCAAATTTCCAAAATCAGTCCAATATGTTTAATATCGGGTTAGTCATGGCCAATTAAAGATTTTGAGTTTGCTAACGAATCACTGTTATTTTTGCTCTGTTCTTAAAGTTATGGGCAGCGACAAAATTACAGAGGTTTGATTGGGCCAGAGCCAGTGCAGATGTGGCCATATCTCAGCCAATTTGAAACACATTTGACTGATTTTAGATATTTAGAGGTATTTAATGGTGCTCTTTTAAGATATGGGATCCAAATTCCAAAATTATATAAATAGATTTTTGTGACGTCATCACGTTGAACTCTAAGCACAGGGAAGGATTCCAGCGGCGGAACGATTCCTAAATCTCCTTTCAAATTCCCTGAATGTTGAATTTACTTTATACTTTTGTCTCCTTGCTCAATAAAGCTCATTTTCTTTTCTTTAGCTTGTACCGATACCCAATGAGCTTTCAAGGTTCTCTAAATCCTATTACCGATGACGTCATCTTCAACTTTGACGTCCTTAGTGCTTTGCGATCCGACGAAGGTGGGGCAACCTTCTGTGAAAAACTGTTTGCACGGAAATAACATCCGAATTTTTATCTTTATCGTATTTGATGAGTTATGCGATCGTCATGGATGAAGGAAACATTATGTAAGTAGCCAGCACATGTAGGCAAAATTGGGCAATCTGTTAAAAAAACGGAACCACCTTCATTAAAACATTCCAATCACAGCACAGTGAGACTAACGAAGGCTTTGCAATATTATAAAATTCCCTGTGTCATCTCCTCAGTACACCAATATCACATTCTAAAGCAAGGAGGGCTCATTCAATGGAATTTTAACTGTTGGAGATTTGTCTCTGCTTGTGAAAATATTAGACTTCTTTTCTCTCTTGAAAATATGCTTGACTTCCAGCATGGACGAGGGCCTCCTTGATCGACGCTGACCATCATTTCTTGATAGCCATCATTACTAAGCGGAAAACCATGCGGCACCTGCAGCTCTGTTCTATCGCTTCTCGCGTGCATCTTACCATCCTTTGATTATTCGAAATCCGTTTTTTCTTATCTTCGATATCCAATATGCTGACCTGTTTCTACATGAAGCTACTAAGCCAGTCAACAAGAATCCAACTGATGTCAACCAATATTTAGGACGAAACTACAGTTAGCTGCCAGGTCTTTTAACCCAAGCGTTTAACGAGGAGAAGTGTTTCCCGCTAACTCCGTTTCTGTTTTCCAGTATCTAGGAAATGTTGGGACGGCTTTTCTAGGTAACCATTTTCGTTGGACTGATACCTTTAAATGTGTTAGAATAATAGGGAAGGGCTTGAGAGATGTCGAGTTTTTCCTTGATTTGCGAAAATGATATTATTTCTGCTTGCCTCTTTTATGAAGTTGATCAAATAAGAGTCGTGTAACTTCCAAAGAGTAAGCTGTCTGACACTTTCTGGTAATTCTCAGAAAACGTCATATCTCCAAGGAATAAGGCATCCAATTGAATAGCGAATGCGTAGGGGCTGTTACGCTTTGTCATGTTTCTGAACCTATGTACGTACATAACCACTTTTAAAAGGAAAATCGCCTCCGAAAGAGGTTTAAACAGTCTTGGTGTTTTTATTGCGCGCTGTACCTTATGCATTTGCTGTTTTTTGGTACATTTTCTGTTTTGGTGCCTTTTTATGGGAATCTTCAGCATTGCTACTTTGTTTGTGGGTTATTCCCTTGAATCTTGCTGCTCTACGGAACCGTTAATTCCATGTTTATCGAAGCTGTGGCAATGAAAAACGCTAAATACAGATTAACTTCAGGAAAATGAGCAAATCCAAATGAGATTTGGATTTAAAACTTTGTTAATTTAAATTGATACAGATAAGCTCAAGGCCATTAAAAGGCATTTTATTAATTTAGAATTTAAAGGGAATTTTGGCGTTTCCTGGCAAGATAACATTATAGCGCATTTGAACTAGACTTAATTTGTCCACAGCTTGGAAATAATGTTACTCGACGTTTCAACAACATGCTGGTATTACATGGCCTTTATTTTCTCGATGGATGTTGGCTTGATTCTTGAATATGAAAGACATTGAAAAATGTGTGTATTGGAAATTCAAGCCAAGCTTCAATATTTGGACACGTACCTCTACCATCACCGACTTATGACCCCTTTGAAAGTAAAACCTAACAACCAGGTAGTAAGTAGCAGGGAAATTTTAATACCACGCGCCAAAAACTAAATCGAAGCGACCTTTTAAAGATCTTTTCATCTCGTGGGTTCTAATGTTCCTCACATCACCATTGCGTTGCTCTCTCCCAAGTTATGAACTGATAGCTGAAAGGGGAAACAAGGTTCTCCCCCATTTTCTCTCTAGTACAAACATACCATCTTTGCAACACCCCCTCCCTCCACTCTTTTGACGAATATCAACGTAGAAGATTCAAGGTCACAACATGGAAGGGGCACAACATGGAAAGGACACACAAACGTAACGTTCGCTGCAAGTGCGTTGTATTTGGGTTGTCCAGAAAAGGCTTCAATTTTAAAGCTGCTACGTTGACTTTGCTGGCCTAAAGACCTAGTTGATGATTGACTTTTTTCCAACTATGTCTATATGCTTAATGTTCTTGAAAGTCTGCTTTCCATCAAAAATATGGATGTCCTTAAAGAATGATACATTTGTTTGATAAATTGAAAAACTACATATTGACTAAATAGTTAAGGATTCTGAAGACAAAATGTTTCAGGTTCCTAAGTCATAGACAGTTTTAACACGTTAAGTGCGCTTCTCATTACTTGCGTCCAGTACTGATGAAAGTAACTCTTACTCTTACAGTAGCTCTTAACTATCTGTTAATACTCGAGGTCATTCTTCAGTGTTACTCAAGAAAGACCATTTTGCATGTTTTCATTCATTCATTTGATGACACGAGGTCGTAGCCTTGTGCACAGTAGCGTAGTGGGGTGGGGGAAACGGGCTAAATGCAATACTTTCGAATAAATTCTGTCAAATTAGAACAGTTTCTAAATTTTCCTGAAATGCTCGTACTTCAGAGGCTCAAAAGCTCTCCCTCCCCCAGCAACTGCACCCCCGCACATGTAGTAGAACTGACAAATGCTTTATGGCAGTCTATCAATATTGCACTTTTTAAACATGTTATAGAGTATTAGATCAACTCTCATTACCCTTTGTCATATGATCAACTCTCATTACCCTTTGTCATATGATCAAAGTGAACGCTGTGTATGTTTGTTCAGCCAAAAAATGAATGGCTGTAAAAATATGAATGAAGTAAGAGATCTGTGGAACGAGAAACGTTGATGTATGTACACGGACAGTAAAGTCTTGACCTTAGATCACGTACTTAGAAGATGACAGAAATGTGATATTTAAGACGAGAAGTAATTAATTCCAAAAGCCCGAAATGACCTATGAAAAGCGATATTGGTGTTATGAAATACCATGGCCTCTTCCAATCATACTCAGAACAGCCATTCTGCAAATACTTTTCTTTCAATCAGTGATGTGATCAATTCAATGTGCTGCCCCCGCAGTGTCCCGTAACGGTAGCAATCCAATTACCCTGGACGTTAAAATTCAAAAATTTTGTCCACTTATGAGAAATAGTTTAGTCTGTTACCATGAGAAGTCTTTAGAAAACTAATGCATTAGATGTTATTGCCGCTGTCCCAGGGCTCATCAATGGCAGTCTTTGATCATTATTCACTTTGTCTTCGGAAAATCTTAGTTATTGGTAAGTAATTAAGTAACTGGCGATGACAATATCTGATTTAGGACAATGCGAGTATTATAAACAATGTAGCGGTTTATAGTTAACAATCCAACCTCTGGATCAGTGATCCATAGCAAGTTTATGATAGACTGTCTTCCTGGCTTTGGCTAGCAGCTCGTAAAGTAAACTAGGTAACTGAAACAAAAGATAAAGAGTGAAAATGAGTTGTTATGCATATAGCCTATGATGGTTGCTATTCAAGAACCCTTTGATTGACTGCACAGCATTCAAATCGATCATGATGAAAGCATTGCCGAGTCGAACTTTTTTGACCACACACATTAGTTATCTTGTCAACTCAAATATGAAAAATAACCTAATAGCAATAGTAACAAACTATTGATTTCATGTTCTCTGACGATTTGGTTTCAGTTCGCAATGAAATGAAATGGCTACTGTCTTATCGTAGGGGGTTCGTGGCCATGGCCTCTCACTTTTTCGATAGATAAAACAATGAAATCAGATTAAATTATGTATAAAGATAAACCTTTAGATTATACAAGTACATTCAACCGAAGTACACAAGTAAAACTGCATCATCAAAATGTTTGCCACCATTGGGGCTAGAGGGGTACAAGGAAATTTTCTTGACATTAGTAGCTCCTCTAGCTTAGGACCAGTGGCGTGGCCCCTGTCCATTCGAAAGGTGTCTCTGTTTTCATCCAGGATCCTGTGGATCGAGGTTGACCAATAGGAATGAAAATATCCTTTTTTATCCATAGATGATTGTGTCCAATCAGCACCCTTCAACCACGCGCGTCACTGAAAGGTCCTAGTGACAGAAAACGGCATTTTAGACAAAAATCGTTCCATAATTTTTAACTTATTTGGCATGATAATAATTGTCCCCTGGCTGTCATTTTAATCTAAACATTTTGCTTTTTCTTTGTATCAAAAATAAATCTCAGTCGTTCTCCTTTCAGGTTAGCGTCTTCTAATAGATTACACAGAGGACCACTAAATCTGAAGAAACCATTTGAACAGGTATCACCTTTTGGAAGATTATCCAACTTATATTTTTTTACCTGCGTGTCATACCTGATGCATTGAAATACAATTTAGCCCTTGCTTTTGCAGAAGTTTGGGGGTAATTTGAGAAATTTTTGGAATGTTCGTTCTCAATTTGTCCCCAATTATAATAAGCAAGGCAGTCTGCTTAAGTTATTACCTACAAATTATCATTGTTTTCATCGGCTTTTTCATACATCTATAAAATATGAAAAAATAGAATTTCCACTTGGCATCAAAACATTCTGTGGTCATTCGATGATACTGTTCTTTTGATATCCTATTTGCGACGAGTTTAAAATCTCAGCATAAGATTTCTTCGTTTATTTCAACAACACTTGATTTTTAAAATTTTCTCCTATGGTAATATATCTATGGTTCTAATTTTCATAGAACATATATTCATTGCACTGCCTGTTGTATGCATTCATATCTTCAAAGTTTGCATTGATGTCTTCAGCTTATCATGCCTAAAAATCAGTTATTTAACTCTCGCCCTATCACCTTAAATTGCCATTCATTTGCATTTTGTTGTCAGATGAATATTATAAAAACACTAGACTTCCTTTAAACGGAAAAAGGTATTGAAACAAATTCTATGCCTGAAAAGGGCGTTTTTCATTTCCAACAGAAAAAACGGATCTACGTGCAGTTTGATTTTACCATTTTGCAAATTCTCTCCCTGATTTGCGTTGATTCACAGTCGTATTCATTCAAAACCTAACTGCAGCTTACTAAGCGGCCCAATCGATAAATCCTTGCCGAAAGGTTGTTTATGTTAAAGCAGACATCTTTTACTTTTGCTACTAAGGACGACCGTTAAGATTTTGAATAGGGTTAGCCTTATCTAACAACCGCGTTCTCAACGCAGCAAATAGAGCTTTTCAACATAATCGCCTAAGTTTTGCATCGAAATCCTCGATCAGCATAGGCCACTGCCCTTGCCCAGACAATTAGTTAAACAAAACATGCTCCCAAATCAAAGCAAGGCTTATTATCGGATGGCCTTGGTTGCAAGAGATCAACTGAGTAGTTGTTCGAGTTTTGTGGAAATGGCAAAATATGAAACGCTTAGCTGACTGTTTTCATTTGAGCACGCGGCTGGGATCAGTTTCGGTGCTCACATACGAACAACGCTTCAAACGCTACCGAAAATCTTTCTATTAGTTTCATTCTTGCTAGGCTAACAGCATGTTTTCCTCTTTGACGTAAGCTTCCCTCGATTATCCTCATCTGCTTGCGCTAATCACCAGCTACTAGAAATACTCTATTTTCTCGGTTTCAGAGTTTGAGCAGAAAACCTTACCCAAAGAACCTTTTTTCGATAATTACGTTCCAAGACCAGAAAAAAATCGATATCCTTGGGCTCAATTCCCCAATGTCTCTATAGACTTCTATTGCTGAGGTGCTTTTCAAGGCGCAAACTGGTATGCCGCCGAGTGTTTCGAACACATTTTTAATATACGAATGTCTGCTGAATATGATCCCAAACATGATGGTTTAAAGTCTTCTTCAACCCTTGTGAATAAAGATGAAAGTTTTTACGAAAATTTGACCATTATCTCGTCGTTTGTTGGATTCTTTTCTCTGAAATATCTTTCAAGTTTAAGTTGACGGAAAAGATGTTGAAAATTACTTTTCATTCGCAAAATATTTGTTCAATGTTAAAAAGCGATTTTCAGTAAGAAAATGGGACATGTGAACAGAGAAAATTAAAAGCAAGTAAATATAGGAAAATGGATTATGCGAAAATGGATAGGAGCACGTGAACATGTGAATAGGAGCACGTGAAACAGGGAAAGAAACATGTGAAAATAGGATTAAGAACATTTGAACCAGAGATAGAAACATGTGATCATAGGATGAGGAACATGAGAAACAGGAATAGAAACATGTGATCATAGGATAAGAAATATGTGAAACCGGGATAGAAACATGTGATCATAAGATGAGAAACATTTGAAGCCGGGATAAAAACATGTGATCATAGGACGAGGAACATGTGAAGCCGAGATAGAAACATGTGATCATAGGATGAGGAACATGTGAATCAGGAATAGAAACATGTGATCATAGGGTGAGAAACATGTGAAACAGGGATAGAAACATGTGACCATTGCATGAGGAACATGTGAAAATAACATCAGGAACATATTAAACAGGGATAGGAACATATGAACATAGGATTCGAAACATGTGAACACAGAAAATAGGAACTTGTAAGAATAAGAAATAGGGACTTGCGAACATAGATAAAGGAAAATGTAAACATAAGATGAGAAGCATGGTATGTTAGTGACAATTAGTACGTTTCACTATAAATTGGCTACAAAACCAATTATGACATTGTAATATTAGTGACGAGTCGAATTATTACATATTATAAAGACCAGTCCTGACCAATGACAGATCCAGTTAAGACATGACAAATATGGATATTAAAAAGGATTTTGTTATGAAACTTTTACGAGCTTCAACAAAACATGAAATAACAAACAGTTACTGGTTTCATAGCATTGTTTTGAAAACCGGTAAAAATGATTTGTTACTTCATCATGTCATTATTCATCGTGTCATACTTCATCATGTCAGATCATTATTCTGAGGTTGGATGAGATTTTGCCATCATGTCACGTACTTACTATCAAATTGCTTAGGCCCCTGATTTGCAGACCTGAGTTATCCCTTGTTTTCAGTGTTATTTTGTTAAACCTAGCATTATCAAGTAATTCAATTATCTGTTTTTAAGTTGCTGAAATAATTTGAGTTCGAGATGAATGCTATCTTAAGATTTCGCTACAATCTACTTTATCCGCTCTTTTACGGCTTAGCATTTTGTAAATATTTATTTATAGATCGAAACCAAAATCCTACGCCCGCATTGAAAATTCAACACATCCCACTGCTTCGATTATTTAAGAATTACTTTATTTATTGCTACCCATGCCGCTTTTGAATACTTTTGGGGAAGGCTAAGTGTATGCAGTATGTGGCTGTTAAGTTCAGATTTGGCTAGATTTGGCTTGCGCAACCGACACGCTTTGCGACTGTAATTCAAAGAACCGGCCTTGTATCCTACTTCACGAAAGTACAAACGACTTTGTACAAGAAATGAATATTTGGTGCGACGTTTCGTGCATAACTCTTCTTCGGGTCATCATTGATTATCAACTTCTCAAGACAACTGCCGCGGAGCATGTCGGTTGCGCAAAAGCCTTTAAGACCAGTGGTGCAGTGCTTTGAAAAGAACAAGGGGAGCGGACACACATAACCATGTCACAATAACAACAAGTAGAAGTCAATTGAACAATTGTTTTTGGCAACAAGTATTCCTAGCTTTACAACCCTATCTAAGACATCGTCTTATCAAATGATCCCGAAGACAATGTGCACGTAATGCAATGTAAACTGTTTTATCCTGCTTGGGGTTAAAGAAATTCACTATCAAAAACACCAACCCAGTACGAATAGCGGAAATTGTCATTTTCATGGCAACTGCAACAGAGAGTGCGCATTGAACCACACTGAACAGTGAAACAGATGGATAGCTTCGTACTGTCGTGAACTTTCTTGTAAAAAAAATGGGGCAGAACGATAGCTACACCTGCAATGTTGCAATGTAGCATAAGAATCTCAATTACCACAAAAGGCTTCTCTAGTACATGGATATAAGTTGATTTAAAAGCAGGTTTTGGGTTTATCTTGATTTTGACTTTATTTTAAGTCTATCTAAGTATCATTTCTTTGTATTTTTTAGTTTCTTGAACCAAAGCTAAAGCAAGAAACTAATGCTGTTGTCATTGGATACCACATTGCAATCGAAGAATGCCAGTCGCGGTTCAAGTGGAACAGATGGAACTGTACCCTGCCAAAGGCACTTTTGACTGCAACAAGGCCTATCTCTTTGACCAAGAGTATGCCACATGGTATGTTGTACCCAGTGTGATAACGACAGACTCTTACACAAAGTTTATTGTTTTTAGGAGTTCAATTTTTTTTAGATAAAGCATAAACAAGCTTTTCGTGCTCGATCGTTTATGCTCTGCCTTTTACATATCATTTTCCTTTTCTTTTCTTTTTCATCAAGACCCTATTAAATTTTCTCAGCTAGTGAGACTAGGACGGTTCAGACAAATTCGGCCCTAAGCTGAACTAGAGAAACTTGTCTCAGTTACAGATCCCCTATAGTTCTTTCACAATACCTTTGAGCGATGATAGAGCAGGTAACCTGTAAAAACTACCCATAAAGAAAGAGAACAACGGTTCAGGTCAAGCAAGGTCATTATCGGTTCAGGTCAAACAAATCCCTCAATTCGACCAGCAGTAACTATCAAGGCACAGCCCTTGTAGCTTTAGGTACTGATCCAACCAACAATTTTATGAAATTAGGCCTATTTGAACAACATATTGAACTTTGTGTCTTTTTACAGCAAACAGAGAAACTGCCTATATGTACTCGATGGTAGCTGCTGGCATAACTTACAGCTTGATGAAAAGTTGTTCGGAGGGGAGGAACAATAGATGCCCCTGTGTTGTCGAAAACATGCGCAGCAACAGAACGCAACGAACATGTAAGGAGAACCTGGCCTATGCTTTCAAGAGAGCGAAGCGGGTGATGAAGCAAATGGAGGTCAAAGAGGTACCTAAAATTGAGCGGAGGCAGTTCAACATCAAGAATTTCAAAACAGGCATAAAGGTTGGTTTTACTGAGCTCTTAGCGTTCAAGGAGCTGCTTTTTTTTAAGTTAAACCCTTCTGCATGGTACTTTTCAATTATTCTACACAAATCTAAAACAATTTTCACAGAAGTTTTTATACGGAAGTTCACCTTTTAGTAATAATGCTCTAAAACGATAAACTAGTAAAAATCCCACCACTCAAAAAGCAACATAATCAACATTTTGCTTTCCTATTTGTCTGTTCAAAAACAGTTGTCTAGAGAGGAACTGAAAACTGAGTGTTCTTTCTAAAGCAAACTTGAAATCGATTCATCCACTAGCTTTGCATTTCTTAAATGCAAATTTTATATTTACCAGTTTTAAGTCTTCAAATTAGTTCATATGGATAGAAATCATGAAGAAGTTTATTTGTAATCTAGAGTTTGGGCAAAATCGACTTTTAATATATGTATTCTGTTATCATTATTATTATTATCTATTTATTCAAAGTAGGCGTATAAAAATAGCTACAAAATAAAAGCTAATTCAAGCCAACTACATAGCAAAATTGTTTGAAAATAAAAAAATACACATTTATCTAACATAAGAAATGATCAAGTATAAATACATGTATACAGATTTTGGAATGTTGTACAGCATTTTTTGGCATTTACATTACAACACATTTATCCGTTCAAGAACCCAACCTGAGCCGCGAAAGGTCTACACAGTCTACAGTTGCATTCCTCTCCTTTCAAAGATTTTATTCACCTTTCAAAGCTGTAGAGGTCGGGGGGGGGGGTAAACTAAGCCTATTTTTTGACGGGGACGTGCCATTTTGGTTAAAATTTTGGACCCATAATTCCGCCAATGTCTGAAAAAATATGACCCATAATTCAACAAACATGATGAAAACTATACCCATAATTCTGCAGAGCAAAAAAAAATTTTAAAAGCCCATAAAAAATCATCAACCAAATTTTGCATGTCCTATGCCCCAAAATCTCAATATTAAACATATTTCATACTTTTATTTCTAACTGGACATTTATTTTGTTAATGCTAAATCTCCCTCCTAACAATTTTGCAATATTTTCCCAAAATGGTACCCATAATTCTGCATGTTTCTTCAAATGTTATCCATGGTTCCGCAAATATTTCAAAAACTTATACCGATAATTGCACACTTTTCAGAAAAAAGGTACCCGTAAATAATGGCACGTCCCCGTACCTTCAAACATGTTAAAGTACCCCATTTGATTTTGAATGACACTAGCATCCGTGAAACGAAGGCATGATAATCTTTAATTTCATTGCAGACGATCCAAAAGGAGCTCCCCGAAGTATGTCATTGTTATGGCCTATCTGGGACATGTTCGAAAAAGCTTTGTTGGAAGTCGATGCCTAACATTGTGAAAGTGAGTGAAAAACTGCGCAAGTTGTACGACGATGCAGTGGAAGTGCATTACGACACTGAGAAACGATCGCTGGTCCGAACAGTGCCACATAAGCAAGGCATTTCTCTGCGCAATACCGAAATGGTATTCTTGGAACCTTCTCCAAATTACTGTCATCCCTTGCTTACAGGGCATAAAGGTACTCTTTTGCGTCATTGTGATCCGGATAATCCCAAAACCTGTGAACATTTATGCGAGGGATGTGGCTACCGAACTGTCAAACGAGTTGTGTACGAAAAGAACTGCAATAAATGCCGTAAACATTTTGAATGGTGTTGTTCTGTCTTTTGCGGGAAATGCCATGTCACAAAGGCCCAGTGCAGGCTTCGTCCGGCGTAAACACGGGTCTTGGCTGCAGTAGTTGTTATAAGAGAGGTATATGCGATCGAGGCACCTAAAGCTCATAAGACCACATGAAGACAAATGTTTTTGCGATATCTCTTACGGCCGCAGGTTAAATTGTCTTAAGGTGCAAATCATAGAGACCGAAGATGCCACCTGTTACATAGCAAGTTTGCCTGGAGGAGCAGAAAGGACCCTATGTTGTCAAGAAGTTGAAAGAACAACAACAACAATACCCGCCAAAAAGCGAATGTTGCCTTGGTAATAGCCACGCAATTTTTCACCATTAAATAAAAAGCTTTATTTGACCCTGTTATCATTAATTTGATACTGCTGTATATTTCCAATTGCTGTCAATTTTGTTGTTAGTTGCCACTGTCGAATTATCAACTTGTTTTAACCATCTGACGACTCTTTAGCAATGTCGATGCTTCCAGCGAACCGTTGATTGAAATTTCAGTATTCTAACAAGTTTTGCAATGAATAATTTATTAAGATCTTCCAGAAAACTTTGTAGAATAAGAATGATAATAAGACTTAAGTAGTTGTAAATATCCAGTCCATTCTAAATCTTTTGTTTTTTAAGAATATTGTGGTCTTAGTTGAAATACGAATTGTATGCCTTGCTAATTACAAGCTGCGATGTTTTTCTTTCAGTAATATTTTTGAAATGATAATTGTTTGTTAGACTGCTCCCCTATATAAAATGACAGGGAAAATTCCGGCCATTCATCCAACAGAATTTATCTCGTTTTTCAAAGTGAGTAGATATGGTACTTCGATGGTTTATATATTTTTATATACCCCTTGTTTGCATCCACCTCATACTTTTTTGGATTTTTTCTTTGCCATATAATTTTTTCCAAGCCATTTTTCAGTCTAAAGTCCGAACCCCCCTTCGTCGAACAGGTATATGAAAACACTCATACAGAATTTTAGGAGGGAAATGGTCTTTTGGACCCAATTATGACGTGTCGGGGTTTTTGCTGCGTTCCCAGCAAGGGAAGTGTCAAAGTAAAATCATGGGAATACACGAAAAGTTTCTACTTACGATTAACATACTTCTCGATTACGGCATTTGAAATATAGTAAAGCTCTCTATATATTTAGATCGCGATGTTCAATTCGTTTAACAACTAAAGTATGTTATAGATTCCCAGCTCGACTATGTCAATATAATGTGAAAGTATTTGTGGATGCTCAGAATTCATAATCAAATATTGAAATGTTTCAACTTAAGTTTTAGCTGTACTGCGCCCGTTAAACAATTATTTTTAATTGATGTGATTGACATTAAAATTAGATATCAGAGTTATTTATTCTAGTGTATATTATTAAAAGCAACAGTAATTTCATTAATGCGCCGACCTTTGTAATCATTGTGTAGAAGAATGACAGTGTTTATATTTCAATCATCGATATTTATTTTGCTGTGAGTGACTTACTGATTAACAAATACAGGTTCTAGTTTCAGTAACACGAAGAAACTTTGCTATTCTGCAAGGGAGGGTAATTTTACCGTGAAAGTGAAAAGTAGAGGGAAGGGCGTGGCTACTCCTCGACCAAGGATGCCCTTCACCCATTCCTTTAAAATATGACAAAATTCATAGGAGGCTTAGCTAACCTCTTGTATAATCGCGATTTTTTATTTCAAGAAGCGAGATAATGCTGGGTTGATACATGCAGTACAAAACAATCATTAAAAGATTTTAAACATTCGGGCATTTTATCAAAGATTAAAAGTCAGACGAAATTTACGCCACAATGGGTCTCTTGTCTCACTAAACCCCATTTACTAATCGCGGGGTAGCCTAGTTCCCCTGTTCAAATTTTTAAAATATTTTATTGTTTTTTGCTGAAACTCTAAAAAGGAACCATCTGATCTGGGCTTACGTAAGCGTTACTTTTTACTACAGCGTCTTGACTCGAGCGGGAGTAGAATCTACCCGGGCTTGTGTAAACGGGGCCTAAATCATACTGATATTCATGAGCGCTAAGACCGTTTTATACGTTCGGTAAGGCAAGACACGGTAAAGCACGGTACCGAACCAACAAGAATCAACTTTGTTCGGCACGGCACAGCTCGACGTATAAAACTGCCCGAGTTTACAAAAGCATTTCACCAATCCAATATCTCTTGATAAGTCACTATTCCAGTAGCTTTGATGAAAAATTTTAATGATCCCCGTTCTTTATCCTTTGACTCTCTGAGGCTCTGGCACCCAGGTAGGTCGGATCAGATCCAATGTGTCCGGATCCTTAGCCTGTGCTCCAGACCCCTAGCTTGAAAGTAGGGATCTGGAACACCGGCTACCGGATCCGACCTTAAATTACTAACGTTGGCAGTATTACCTCTTATTAATTTTATAGTTTACTTATTTATTGGTAATGGCTTCAACATAGCAGCTAGTAACAATCAAAAATAGAGCACTGTGCTTCCGTCGAATCTGGAAATTAATGTGAATACATTTCCCAGAATGAATTGATTCGAATCAAATTTCTTTCCAGGATGGATCATCCAAAACTGCGACCAAATTCAAATTTATGTAATTTAGCAACATATTTACAACTTTTCGAATAGATTTCAACCGAAGAAATATTGATAGATATCACAAAGTTAAATATTGATGAGAACAATATGATCTATCTAGTTGCAAATAACGAAAAAGGTTTACGAGCCCAGTGTTCTGATCTTTCATAACAGTAAAACTAGCTGATTAGGTTAACACTGCTGTTCTGTTTTCTGAAAAGATAAGATAGATAAGAAGTTGGAAAGGAAATTTGATCGTTGTTGCCAGGGGCGGATTTAAGCAACAATCATTGGGGGGGGGGTGTTAGACACTAATTTTGGTGCCACACCCTTCAGGTCGCTGGTAAATGATTGAAAATCCCATTTTCAAAATTTGGTTTCAACTTTAAGGTAAAGATGATAAAAAGCAGTGGCGTAGCCAGGGCTGGAAGATTGATGGGGCAAAGAGGAGAAAATTTTTGCTGACCAGACCCCTAAGAATTGGGGAAAACAGCCATCTTGGAAATGCATTTGGAAAAGCTATCGCATTTTACGTGGCAATTTCCCTTTATACAATGTCATATGTAGCGTTTTGTGGCTGACCATATTATATAACTGTCTATTTTCTTTACCATTCCACTAACGTTTATATCCTGATTTGTGTAAGGCGAGAAAGAACTACGTGTAAAAAGTGATTTTCCGAAGTTGTTATCAAATATATAAAAACAGTAAACAGTGTTCGAAAGTTTTAAACCAAGTCCGTTCTTCTTGGAGTAAAACCCACGAGAAGCATTTCAGAATCCAGTTTTTTTTATTGGATTGCTTTAGCATTTTATTTTCTATTTTATTGGAAATGTCTCAAGAACGTGAAGGACTTTTCTTTATACAAAAAAGGAAGGGAAAATGTTGAACATCCTGTAGAGATCTAGAGAATGAATGAATGAATGAAGCGAGCAGAAAATTTTTTGCGACGACGCTCTTGAAATTAACTTAAAATACATGACAGAATATTCCTCCCCACCCCCGCTACACTACTGACAAGAAGATAAATGCTGATAAGGAAAAATAAATAAAGTAAAATCTTGGCACTACTTTGTTACAACTGACTACCAACAAATGATCTTTACCGAATGAAACAATGTTTATCGAAAGACACAGAGCTATTGGGGAGGTGTGTCGCACCCCCTACAACCCCCGCTAAATCCGTCCCTGATTGTTGCTCTTATATGTGCGACGGGCGTTTAATAAAGGTCTGCGCAAAACATGCGGGCCGTTTATTCAAACTCAATAGTTGAAAGAAGAGCGTTTATTTAAGACTTTGCATTTATTGGAGGAAATCCGGCACGCGGGTCCGGACTCTTATAAGATTCGTGCAAGCGCATTTTAAAAACTTATGATCATTGTAAACAGATCTAACCATTCATGTGAGACCAAAACAGCTCTGGCAGAAGAAAAAACTGTCTTTTTCAACATAGCTCATCAATTTATATTTGAGTGGCTTTTTGATCCCTCGAGGATTGGCATAAAGGTGACACAATTGTTTTTTGGCCAATCGAAAGGCGACTAGTTCGACTCTACCTGATGGGTTCATGAATATTTAATACATTTGACACCCATATTGCACGAAAGGAGGCACGGGCCGTGAAAGTTTCACAACGATATTGTCTTGCATTTTATTGTGGAATCCGCCTAATGCTTTTGCGACTGACAATTTTGAAAGAAATTCAACTAGCAGTTTCAGAGAGGTTGACTGCATTTCTTTAACATAAAGAAGTTGGTAATGTGGCCTAAGTAACCCGTTATGAAAGCTGGTGGCAGACGAACTTGGTCAAGCGAATGCCCTTCACTGAGGTATGTGCAACCCTTTTTCTAAAGCATTTCTTGTTAGGAAACCCACATTAAAGGAATATTACTTTCAGAAATTGAAGATAGGCTGTAAAACATCAAAGTCGTTTCGCCATAATACCAAGCTTCAATGCTTGTCGAATAAATTGAACAAAGTTTGTGTTAAGTTGTGCTGTCAAATCTTATCTATTTACCCTTATGCCTATCGCAATTCGGCTGTTCAGTGTATTCCCTAAAAGCTTTTGATGTCAAAGATTGTGTTAAAGGTGACAAAACTGCTCGAAATATGCAGCGCTTTGCAGACATCTTAAAAAATCAGTTCACTTTATTTCATTCTTTGCATTCTCATACACACAAACCAGTATCATAATCAAACTTACATTTACCAGAACAAGATTCAAATAATTTATATTACCGTGGCAAAATAAGTTGATGGCGGACAAAAAATTAATTCTAACTACTTTTCCCCAAATACATTTTAAAAGAAAACAATTGGCCCTTCACCACATTGCTCTAAAACAATAATCAAAAGATGTAAAGCTTCAAACCGAGTTTGAAACTGTTTTCTGCGCACGGAATATGTTTTTAGTACAGAAATATGTGCACATAAGCAGAAAAATTTGGCACAGCTAGTTTTCAAAACTGCGAGTTGTTGTTGTTGAATTGTTCCTCCGGCTCACAGGTTTGCTAAACGTTTCGGATACATTTATATTTGAAATATTGTCGAGGCTAATCAAATGAAAAGGGTTAACGTGTAAAAAACTAAATAAAGGTAATAAAACTAATGAATCTTTGCACACATCGCACCCGAGTTCGTGAATTTGCACACAGATTTTCAACTGCGTACACGGAATAAATTCTGATACGAAGTTTCCAAGCTAGAGTTAAAAAATGAAAGTACCCTATTTGAAAATCTCTACAGTACCTGCATAATTTTTGGTAGATTATGATTGCTTACCTGTCCTTTTCAAAAATATCGGTTTCCCTCTCAAAAGGTATCATTAATAATGTATAGATATGCCAAACAAATGCAAAAAAAAGTGAAAATGCGCCATGATAGCACGGGTAGAAAAACTGTGGAAATTTTTAGACTTTCTTCATCGACTCTGAAATCTATTGTCTCGTTGTTTGCTTGTTTTGTTGCCTAAAGACACACCAAATTTCCTCCTGCTGTCATAGATGGTTTGTTCCAGAACAGTTCGTTTTTGGTCCACTTCTGATTATTTAGTCAGCATGGATCCATTTGTTTTAACGAGAATTAAGGGAATTACATGAAATCTAAAGAATGATATGTTAAACTTGCCAATTAGGCTTGAAAGATTTGAAAAATTGAAATCAAAGATCTTATCTTTGTAGATGAATTTAAAATGAAGCTGTTGTATTTTAGAACAAGGGAGATATTGGGAAAGAAATCAAATTAATGTGGCCCATTCTATACTACGCATTATTTTTTATGTAATAGACTAGGTCTGAACTGGAAATTCTTGTCTCTGAACTTCATTTAAAATTCAATGTCCATAACGCTAATACTGATGAAAATATGAACTGAAAAGTAGGTTTTTATCATTGATCGATATTGCATGTTTGGACAAGAATTTTCAAGGCTAGAATACAACCTGAATATATAGCATAGTATTGTAGAAAGAACACTGTAAGATAAAGCGAATGTTGTGATACTCTGAAGATTGTCAGGCAAAGAACTTAAGAATGCCTTAAAATCTTCCCCTTCTCTGATATCCTTACTAAGCGCTAATAGATTTATATTGATCAATAGACAGCATTCACTAGACTACATTCTACTGAAAAGATGACTAAAATGTCAGTTTTGCGAAGCATTAAGTACTAAAATGGTCTTGATATCTGCAGAAATGTTGTAAAAAACATAGTGATACCATACAGGTTTCACAAAACAATAACTTTAATTTAAAACGGATGAATCTTTTCTTCTAATTGCAGGTTATTAGATGAGACGCAACCTGTTAACCAGCATACTATGGTTCTCTGCAATTGTGTTGTTTCTTCTGCACGTATTATTAATGCGTAAACAAGATGACAAGCAGTTCTCGGGGCTGGTTAGCAAACATGAAAGAGAGGTCGTCTACTCCACAGTGACAGGTAAAACTTTTTTGGTGCAGTAATGTCTAACGCACTCAATCAAATCAATCGTTAAAGGTAATGTGTCCATATAAAAGGACTGCGTATACCCAACTTGTCAAGCCACCCATCAAAATAACGGTTTACGATTGGATAGTATTCTTGCGATGCAAAACTGCTCACATGAAAAGCTGACCTCGCAGCAGGATAGATAAACAGAGCGACCGTAAAGACTGGGGCGTTGACATGAAAAATCACATGTTTCTAAAAACCCCCGCAGAGTCTTTGCTATAGCTGGACACATTACCTTTAAGGACATTTAAAATGTCAGCAAAGTAGCTTTGTCCTTCTCAATTGTTGATGAATGTGAAAAGGACTGTTGCTAGTTGTAATGTAAATTACTCCCTGCCCCACATACTCTTGTTCTGTTACTAACTTTGAGGGACATTAATTGAGACTTCATTCAACTTTTCTCATCAGACAGAATTAGGGACATCGAATGAGAACTGGAATCAATGAGATGCTTGTCAAAGTAAAACTAGTTTTGTTTCTTCATTGGGCTGAAAGAAACTACTTATATACGCTAGGCTCTGATATCCTTGCTGCTTAAAGGCATTTGACACAGGTAAAAGTCGCTTACAGCCACTCGACCACGAGCGGTTGACCAGTCAAATTGCACACAGAGAAAAACACGTGAACAATTTCCGTCTTTCTGCAAATCGGTGAAATCCTAGAGCAGCGCGCAGTGGTTTCACGTGAGCGGTTTTCAATACCTTTCTTATGCGCGTACTCTGATCAACTTGGCCTAAGTAATTTTTGGATTCGCTGTACTTATGCATGTCAAATGCCTTTAAATAACATTAAACCTTGCTATAGAGTTACCACTTAATAGCGTTGAAACCTTAGAATTCAGAATTGAACGCTTTCTTTTTTATTGAAGCGCATCAAATGCCAACAGTCACTGCCGATAAGCAAGATGCAACTACAAGAACGCTGCCGAAACCAGCAGTGATGCCAATAACAGCTTCATTAGAAAATCAATACAAACGTAAAATTGAGAAACTCAAAAAAGAGGTCGATATGTTGAAAAGAAAAGAGAAGCAGTTAAAAAGCCTTGCAAGGAGACTTGCATCTAAAATAAAAGGGAAAGAAAGTGGTACATTGCCAAAATTGGACCCTAACATACCATGGGTATTTGCTATTACACCAACATACGCGAGATTCACGCAAAAGGCTGATCTGGTTCGTTTATCGAGCACGTTACTTCATGTTACTAATCTCCATTGGATACTGGTAGAGGATCATACATTTAGGACAGACTTAGTAAGCAGATTGTTGCATGAGACAGGACTTAGTTTTACTCACTTGAATTATCGCACGCCTATGGATATGCAACGGAAAAAGGGAGAGCCAAGAAGAAAGCATCATCGAGGTGTCGGCCAAAGGAATATTGCGTTGCAGTGGTTAAGAGACAACATTGATGCAGATAAAACACCAGGTGCCGTTTACTTCATGGATGACGACAACACGTATCACACAAGAATCTTTGAAGAGGTAAGATATTGATTGATTCTTGTATAGAAATTTTGAGCAAAATCGATAGAGGCACCTTTAAACGAGGTCCTCTAGCTGGATCATCAAATCTATTTTAGCTCAAATTTCTATCGGAGAGAAGCGAGGCTCGTTTCATCAGCTTTCGATGGATTATATTATGCTCTTCCCAAGGCTTGTAATCTGTGTACGAGCAAGGACTAACTTGACCAATAATTTAGGAGGGTGAAATGTGCGAAATTTCCTAAGCTGATGGTAATTTGGTTTCAAAAACTGTAATAAGTCTTTAATTACAGAACCTAACCTTATACAATTCGTTCAATTGAGAAAAGTCTCGGCAGTTCGTTCAATAACGTTATGTCACATTATTCTCGGACGTGTCGTAAAAAAGCATTTGAATTGCGACTTGAAATTTCTGACTATTCCCAAATTTCCGACTAGTTCAAAGAGTTTTAAAATGGGGGGGGAGGGGTTACACCCCAACACCCCCAGAATTTACGTGCCTGTATGTGAGTATGAGTGAGAGAAGGGCTATTCAGCTAGTGCTGTCAACCAGTTTTATGTAGACTTTTAAATTTGGCACATCAAAATCAAGGCCATGACCCAACATATACTGCGTTTTTTGACGGACACTTTGTGTTGGTATTTTTTGCTTTAGAGATCAGTAATTAACATTTGCTATTTTGGTAATATAATTTAGCAACCATAATTAAATTTTGTTATTGTGATTTTTTAACATCGACCACTACATTATATCTGAAACAGACATTATATCTGAAGAGCCACCTTGTATAAATATTAACACATTAAAAGGTAAGGAGAGTCGTTAGCTAGGCACAAGAATCAAGAGGCATGTACACATCGAAAGAAAGGACCAGGACGCTGTTCGATGAAAATAGCTTCCTAGAGTCCTAAGAAGTACATTCGGATCCATTGTAGAAACAAATACGAATTATGTACTTTGATCAACGAACATGAAAAGGAACTTTATACATATTTGGTACTAGGAATAGTGAACTGCTCCAAACAAGGGCTATGTCTCTAGTGTTTTTACAGAAATATTTCTTAAATAAAGCATGTGTGTGACATGTTGCAGCGACCTTTGCCAACTAAAAGGATTTCTCCTATAGGATATATAGATGATTCCTTTTTGAACATTTGGAATTAATCTCGTCAACAAACTGATACATTAACTGACAATGTTTTTAGATGCGATGGACAAAAAGGGTATCGGTGTGGCCAGTTGGTTTATCCGGCGCCGCAAGATTTGCTGGACCAGTCGTAAAGAATGGGAAAGTGGTTGATTTTCATACGAACTGGGCCCCAAACCGCACATTTCCTATTGATATGGCTGGATTTTCTGTCAATTTGAAGGTGCTAATCAAAGACAAGCCATGGGTTAACTTCAATGCAACTGCAAGGCGTGGGTATTTGGAACCATCGTTCTTGGAGCAGCTAACAACCAAGGATGAACTCGAGCCATTAGCCGACAATTGTACCAAGGTAAGCTGTTCATAAATCCATAAATATTTTTGATATTTGTTTAGTAAACCTATGTCTTGATCTTTGTTAATAATATTCAGTAGTCATTATCTCGACGGGACGTTTTTCCGATTGTTTCGCCACCCTTGCTAGAAATTTTCATTGCACGCATGCGCACTTACACTGTTTTTGCGCTTGGTAACGTTGGACTGTAAATGCGCTTCTTGGTTTTACGTTTGTGAAGATAGCTATGAAAAGAGACTTGCAGTCTCGAACTGGAGATTTTAGGCGCTGACATTCTTCATCAAAAGACATCAACGGGCGGACATGAACAATTCGGAGAGGTACCATGTTTTGCTAGATGTCATATTTTTTGGAGAGCGTTCCCTGACCCTAGGCGTCCTGTGAGTCGTTGATGCCGTCAAAACATTCCTCGACGAGTATGACACGAGGTTAGTCGGATTATCCGAACGGGATTCTTCACCTTCGCCACATCAACGCAATTTCATGAATTCGTAGAGTGCGAGAGGGATCGATGCCGTAAAAGGAAACGCGGGGGTGGCCGAGCGCTACGGAAAATTGTCATTATGAAGCGTATATATACTTGGTTACATGCCAACTTTTATCAAAATATTCAATAAAATGCTGGAACCGATTGGCCAGAACACATAAACAAAATCCAACAATATTGAGCATTGATCAGCGAAATGTTGAGTGGGTTTTGCCAGATCTTGAGAATGAAGCGGGTGCTTTCAGACTAAGAGGTTAAATATCGCTTCCCATTTTTGACTGTTGGAAAAGTATTTAAATAGTTATAAAGGAGGGAGAATGATCGAGTATAGTGTTGTTTCTTTAAGATATTTAAGGCAAGGGGAAGATGGTAGTTTTAAAATCTCAGAAACAGGCACAACATGACAACAGCTGTTATAAAATGTTATAAAGGCCGTTATAGAACCTCTATCCATTAAAAAAGCTAAATAACACATAACTGCATTGAACAATTGTGAAGCTGGTTTTGAAACTTGACATTGATAAAATCGGGGCTGGAGTAAATTTCATCTCCTACATAAGTATTTCACTGTCATTTTACTTATTTTCTCCTTCCTTGTTTCTTTCAATATCTTTGATATAGACGATGCTTAGATTTTGATATATATTGAAGCCCAAAAATCTCCGTCTATTGTATGATATTGTGTTTATCTATGACCACTCAGTTTTCAAGTATATTACACAGGGTCTAGAGCTAGGGGGCTGAGGGGGCTGAGGGGGCTGAACCCCCCTTGTTGATATTTGGGCAAATTTCTACTTTTGCCATTATTTTTCGCAAAATTTTGCGCAAGAGGCCAACCTTGTTATTTTGACATAACTACACCACTGCTACTTCCAGTATATTAGCCCATGACTTTGCTTTGACATTGTATTCCTAACACCAACAAGTAAGTAAATTTGTTTACAAAAGTTCGATACAAAGGATGCATTGCTCGAGACTAATCAAAAGAATATAAGGTTCCAACAAGCATCAATCAGAAGATATAACAGTCGCAAACACAGCCACTTCTAAAGGTTTAAAGTCTATCTAAGCGAAAATTGATTCATAGAAATTTGTCTTTCAAATGTTTAGGTGGCTAAACTAGTGATTGCTGAGAATCTTCCGATTGGGTGGGGTTGATAATGCGAAAGAAAGGTTGTCCTTTTCTTATATCCGCTGCTTAAAAGAAATATATGAAGAATGAATAAGTCTTAATAGATCCACTTTAAATTTATTATTTGACTCAACATTAAAAACTGCAAATATCAAGATTGTGATATATGGAATAATTTCTCAATCCATTTCATCGTTTAAAATTACTGGTTTAATCAGAAAAGAATTAATCATAAAACGTAGAACTTAACTGGTATATAGTTTCGAATAAAATTTAAGTGTTAAACTAGAATACACAAATTCGAGGGACTGCAGCCTCTTCTCCAACCGGATTCTGAACTGAGATTTTTGGATAAAGTCCGTTCCCATCACTATATACAATGAGAATGTTAACCTGAGATTTTCACCGGCTTGAAGAGCTTTTTAATTTGTCGACATCTATATAAAACACCAATTTCGTTTGTGGCCTCGTTTTGAAAGTACTTCAAACCCCATTGCAATTGCCGATGAAAACGTGGTTAAGGAGTGATAGTGAAGGCCTTCTCCTCGCATGGGCTGTTATGGGGCCCAGTTCTCGGATGGTAACACTCTTGCCACAATAGAAGCTCGTTCAAGTATTTTTTTAAATCAGTGTTAAGAACCTGAGTCTACATGTACATTTTCGTGTTATTAGAACTTTTGATCTTGACAACAAAAAGTAAAATTTTTCCATTGATAAGCTACAAAAAGGTTTCATAAGAGTGAAAAGTTTTACCCAGAACGATTTTTGTGTTAAAATGGATTGCAAGTTTAAAAAAAGGTTTATCATCATACAGTCTTAAAAACAAAGACAAACAGCATTAAAAATTGTCTGAAGACCAAAATTTTAGTGGTTGATCCTAACCTGATCTCATTAACGTGGAACAATAAAGTTTACGAGACCATAAATTGCATCGGTGTATTTTTCCGTATCTTTGACTATTTTTCCATATCTTTGACTATAATACCCTGAGCAAGTTTTGCGTTAACAAGAAGCTGGTTTTTTGCTGCTGTTCGTCAAAATTGTGTATTTTTGCATAAGGATATAGAATTTTTGTCTCTTTATCTATCACATAAATTTTCTAAACTTGAAAAATATGTTTACTTGAAAGCAACATTACTGTATTTAAATTTCTAACTGTATAAATTAAATTTCCTATAGGTACTTGTTTGGCACACCAGGACAGAAGTTGCTAAGGAGAGTATACGAGGAGAGCGGCAGTTAATAAAATTGGGAAAGCCTTCTGATTTGACAATAGAAACTTGAATAGTTGTTGTAATTTCAGTTTGTTTTTGTCAAAGGAAATATTGTCAAATATTGCCCTGTAAGTGGCATGCACGAAATTAAGATTCTTTGAAACCAGTACGCTGATTTGATCTTGAACACAATTGCTTTTATATTACAATTTCGATCAAATTATTGGGCCATCGAGGGTCTTTATTCTGTTCCCGAATGCTATCACTGACACTCCTTTCTCAATTAACAATTTGATTGTTTAGGTAACAATCATTCAAGTCACGCTAAAATACTCTGCCACAACCTCATTTAAGGAAAAGAGAGAGGAAAATAACGAGGAAATACGAGAGTGGAAAATTGTATGTGTTGGTATTCTTAAACCTTTGACAAAAATTTTGCGAGATATTTATCTAGCTCTATGCCAAACTTGAGGGCTACTTTGTATCAATTTCGACAGGAACAGGGTAGTTTTGACAGGAGCAGGGGTGTCTTCCAGGGTATGCATTTTTTACAAAGTAAAGTAATCATCTGGAACTATATTTTCATTTAGAGCAACATTTTTCTTCAAACTTTTAATTTTTAGCCTTAGATAAATTATCTTGAAATTTTAATTAGCCAAAAGTAGTTACAAGTTAGAAAAAACTAGATTTTTGCAGAAAAACTAGATTTTTGCAGAAAAACTAGATTTTTGCAGAAAAACTAGACTTTTGCAGAAAAGTTTTGGTTCCCTGATTGACAGTTGAAAGAAATGTTGTAATTTTGTTGTAAGTACTATTCGGCTTTAGTTCTCCGCTCTGCAATTGAATTGAGTCGTGTATTGAATTGAACCATATCGTGTGTCCAACATACAATATTCAGTTAAGATGTTCTGTTAGTCGCCCGTCCTTTTGGCAGTTATTAGGAATATTAATCGGCAGTTATAAACAATAGTGATATAGTTGATGGAAACTTCCTTGCTGTAACGTAGAACATTGTAATTCAATTTAATTTTTTGACATCTTTTTATCTGTGTCTTAAAAGTATAGTACATATGCTTTCTGTAAGCATTTTTGATATCGACATTATGAAATTCACATTTGTTTATTGTTCTTGTAATCTTAAGCAATGAAAGGGCCTCTCTTTTGACCCAGCATTTCTTCATTAGAATCCCCTTACTCAAACTGACGCATTCATTTTCATAGCAAATCCCACTCTAGGGCTGCCATCTTGAATACGTCCTCTTTCATGGATCAACATGACAATCGTGTTCTAATAAACCAATGTTGAATCATCATCGTGATTAATCAACAATGATTAATCATTCTGATCACACCCAGTTAATCCTGCTAGCAATGCTCATTTTTTGTCAAGATGGTGCACAGAAATCTAGGATTTAAAATGTTTGCAACCCGAGATTCTAACATTACAAGGCAAGAAAAAGTATTTGGTGAGCGGGACAACCCTCAGTCCTGTCGTCAACGAGCAGGCCCCTGTAACAAAACGGTTATTGCGCATGCACATTGACGACTGGAAGAAAGGCTGCTTCACGAATCTGGCGATTTTCACCCGTTTGTCTCCCTAATAAATCTCTTCTGTCGCTTCAAATAGTAGCAAAGCACGCTTCACTCTAGAATTACCAATTTACCTTTAATATGAGGGTACCTCTTACAAAATGTTTTCGACAAATAAGAAATTATTCAAAATCCTATGATAATCTACCTTGTGCACTCTACCTGATAATACGCTGTTTGATCGATAAATTTGTTATAAAATGATACATGTAGCGGTAGTAGCTCTACCAGAAGATTATCCACGCTTTCTTCTCTCTCGTATAAGGAACCTGTTCTTTCAAACTTTACAATATTCACGCTACCATTGTGTACAGTTCTGACAGCATCAGAAAAAGACTTGACGGAGTCTTTAAGAAAATCTTTGCCAGATATCAAGCGTAACTTATTTGGTCGACGAAATACAGAGCAATCTGTTGCACCTATTGTTGGTAGACTTAAAGTTTGTTCTGAATTATTTTCTTCATTTAACTTGATACCTCTGATTGAATTGGAATCATTCACTGAGGCTTCTTCATTTGCTGCTCTAGCTGTTATGCCATTTGTCTTTTCGAAGGAATACCGTTCACTTTGAGGAACACAATAAATCTGTTCACTGTGAACACCTTGACAACGTTTAGTTGAATTTGACAGCTGTTCTCCTCTTTCGCATATCGCGAGGCTGTCTCCTTCGTAGCGCGTATTGTTATATACACCAGGCCAGTCTGGATTCAAGAATTCGTCTGGACAGGGTGGCTGGTTTATTGTAAGGCCTGGCTGCTGTATTCGCTCTATAACCTGCACCACATTTATACCCATAATGTCAACAAACGTTTCGAGTCGCATAGATGAAGATTTTTCTGATTCTAAGCATTTCAACCTTCCTTGGATAAAATTCTTTTGACGTCTTCCTGCTAACTGGAAATGCTCTCCCTTTGTTTAATCACATTGTGCGTTGAAAAGGAATCTATTCGAACAATAACTAGAACACCTACTTCGAAATCGTACGTCAACACGGGTACCTCAATTATCAAATCGAGGGATTTCGTATTCTGTTGTGTTGCATTATATTGTATTGCACGATTTAATTGATGTTAGTTGTTACAAAAGTGCATAAAAAATAATTCAAACATGAATGGGGCAATTCGTTTATTCCAAAAAGAAAGTTATTCCGAGTCAAATACAAAAATAATCCGCATCTAGAAAAACCACATTTTTAGGAACTTCATTCCTTTTTAAATCAATCCTTTTTAATCAATAAAATGATTTTTATTAAAATTCAACCTACCATTGTCACAATTTTGATATTCATTATAGTCATTTTCAAAAATGTTAAAAATGTAATTTCGAAATTTTGCTAGATGTTGCAGAAATCTCCCAATACTGACACGAGAATGACTGACCTTCTTATTGTGTATGTGACTCAAACGTCGAGCTAGCAAGCTATTGCACAAAGCGTTTCTTAATTTTTCCAACAAATTTGTTTCACGACTCTGTAGCTTACCAACACCTATTTAAGTGAAATTTTTAATAGATAGTATGCTGAAGATGATCACTATCGTAGCATGATGTTTAAAATACTAGTTGGATCTCCGTTTTCTTTTACTTAGATCGATTTTATTTGTCCTATCAGAGAGGTTGATGAAAAATTTTCTTGCTTACTAATTCCCAAAAAACGTTGCACAATCTAGAAATCATTAAGACAAATGAGAAATTTATCGAACCAACAAAACAATAAATTGATACCTCAAGGATTGAATGGTATTAAGCAAGAAAGATAAGAAGTAAAAAATGGGAAAGAAAAAGGGGGAAGAAAAGAAGCTGGAAGAATATTGAAAAATGATAATTAGAAAAAAGAACAAAAGAAGCAAGGAAGGTAGAAAGGGCACAAAGAGAGTGGAGGGGTAGGGAAATGTTAAAATCGGGCAAATGTCTTTCTCGTGAAAACTTGATTTTTGACACCCTGCTTCAAAGTTTGCCATAAAGGGAAAAAAGATCTTTGCTTGTTTGCTTGTTTTCTGTGTGTAAAGCGATAGGTACGCAAGTACTCCGTTGAATGTTTCTGTGTTTTCATGCCATCGCAAAAAGGTTTGTAGTACGAATGGCTTAGGCAAAGCACGAAGACCAGGTCTAATGTAAGCACATAAACAGACTGTATCACAGGGAATTAGAGAAATGAAAATCAATTAAGAAGAAACGGAGGAACGTGAATTGAAACGGATTGAAGAAACGAAAAGTAGAGAGGGAAAAGAGGTTGAGCCAGGGAGAAGATGTTATGAAGGAAATGAAAAAAACAAGTAACGCGGTGACAATAAAGCCTTTAAAACATATTTCGAAAAAAAAATCGTGGGTAGGCAAAAGGAAGAGCTTCAAATTCATTAAGAAAAACGCATATTGACATTTGCTGCAATATTTTATAAATGTTATTGCTCTACCTACTCAGGCTAAGGTTATGTAAAAAAGGTTCAACTACATTTGAAGCTAGATACAGCGTGTTGTTGATCTGCAAATATTTTTTTGCATCAACGAGCCTGGTCTATGCCAGCGTGTGCTAGATCACTTGAGGGCCGGTGCGTTTTGCTGCAAGATTGAGATGATGTCTCGTATGTATGGAACAGGTGCATTAGCACCAAGATGGAGAGTGATGTAAGAAGGCTCGTTCCACGGAGGCAGAAGTACACCAAGTTTGACAGACAACTCGTTATACTCACTGTACACAAGAGGCAGGGGTAGCCAGCTCTTCAGACAGGACTGTAACAGAGAAGAAGAGACATTATAAAGTTAGCCAGTCACAAGAAATAATCTATCCAATTACACATAATTACATCCTAATATTAAAAAATGGTAGATCGTCAATTATGTTGGTTTTCTGTTTGTCTGACATATTAATTTATATCATACTTTTCTTCGAAATTGATAGAATGAATCAACATGACATTTCTAAGTATAAGCAACATATCTGCTTCTTAATAGCAGATCCAGCCGAGAGGCTTATAGACCAGAAGGAGAATGGGGAATGGTCGCCCGAGAGCAAAATTCATGGAGCCAAGTGCTGGTTTCGAAAATTGGTGTCATCGTGTGAACAAAAGGCCTATCCGATATAAAAGTCCGATACGAAATGAATCCGGTATCGTGTGAACAGGGCTGTTATGTACGTTTACGGCCACGCGAAGGATCTGGCATTTAAATTGAGATTAAACTACTCGTGGTGATTTTTTAGGGTACTCAATATGTTTGGGAGAAGTGGGAATCGCCATTTTTTGGAGCCAGGAATCGGGAATTGGCAAATTTTTGTGAGTGGGATTCGGGGATCGATGACAGCGGGATTCGGGAATTGATGGTCGGAAATCGGTAACCGAGGAGGAATTCCGGAATTTGGAACCTACTGGATACCCTTTTTTAGGGTTGTAAGTTATGTTATGCTCTATTGTTAAAGACGTACCTCGTCGTTTCATCGCTTTTGTGGAGATCAAATGTTGACGAACTGCATCGTCGTAAAAATTACCCGCAAATTTTACCTCCAAGAACTTACCAAGCTACATAGGCTTACTGAATGTTTATTGCAAAACGCACAGGTAGGCGAGTTGAGAAAGACACTACTGTTATCCCCTCTTTTTGGGCTTATAGAGCATGCGAGTTGAAGTTTATTTGCTTTCAGACATTAAGGCCCCGTTTGCACTATACAGGCTACATTATCACGTCGCGGATACGATGATAACTATCCTGTATATAAATCTGTTAGCTGTCGGATACGAAGGTTGCCCTATCCGATAGCTAACAGATATCATTCTTCTTCTACGCTTCCTTTTCTCAGTCATAAAAAGATGATACTAGCAACTGAAGCAGGAACATATTCAACTGCAGAGAACCATAAAAGCACTGTAACAAATACAAGAGCGTATTCATCATCAAAGACGGATCCATTTTCAAAACTTCACGTTGAGGGTTAACCGCAAATTTACGTTTTCGTCTTCACATCGAGGTCCCAGAGCGAAACATAACAGACATCTGCATTTACATCATGTCACAGCCGTGCCGAAGTGATTTAGATTTTTACCTACATAGCGGCATGATCTTCGCTCCGATTTGTGGAGCGTCTCGTATCGGATAGCTTTGGCATGATGTGAACGGCACCTATTCGTACGAAAAGAGCGGCGCCACGATAGCTATCCTGTAAAGTGCAAACGGAGCCTAAGACGGGAATGAAGAAGGCAGCATCACTAAATGAACTTATAACAGTAAAGACAAAACATTAAAGGAGCTTTTTCCCTCTTTACACTTTGTTATTTTGTCTACGATGAGTTGTCGCACAAAATGTATGGGGAAGTTTCAGTGAACAAATGTTAAAAGTAAGGAACTATAAAGAAATTCTTGGTACTTCGACTTGATCAAAAGTGGTCCTAGAAAAAAGGACTTAAAGAACAAGGCCTTGAGCAAGGCTTTTTGAAAAAATATGAAGTCATACTCACCCCACCAAACATACCGCAGCATCCAGCACAAGGGGGTTTAGATGCATGAATGGATATGGTGCCTGAAATACCACTTCGCCCATCTAACTCTACACTTTTGAAATTTTCCAGTGAAATGGGAAAATAATATGTGGCATCTTTACAAGACATTTCCAACGTGTAGCCCCCTGGCAGCTTTTTAGGATCACCAAACTGCGCTAGCGAGCAAGCTGTAGTGAGAATAATTATCGTGAGTTTCTTACATTTAACACATTACATGTCACACAGCCAACGGCCAGAACAAAAGAAGTGAAAACAAAAGGAATTTGAACACTACAACTAGATCATGCCTTTCACAATGCAAGAAAACGCCCATTTTTTGAAAACATATTTGAAACAAGCTATGTAATTTCTACGTGACATTAAAAGTAAAATTTAAATTACTTCTTACGCTTTAGTTTCTGTATCGTATCAAGTAAGAAAGCGCTATCGGTTTAAAAAAAAATTCTTTCAAAGCACTTAGCAATCAAACGCATTTTGTTATTTATAAGAAACTAGTACTAAAATACCCAAAGAGATTTAAGAAACTTTAGCACTAGACTTGAGAAAAATTAAGAAACTGTAAAATTTCCATTTTTAAACAAAATTTCAAAATTTTTTGTATTTTGTTGATTTTCTCCCGAAAAGATAGCATACTTTGGATCTTGATCTGCTTGTGCTTTTTTCGTGGCGCTCCCCGTTTTTATATTCTTCCAAAAATGCTCAACTTCAAAACAATTAAGCAATTTTAGGTCCCGAAATAAGAAACCAATTAAGAAAATTTTAGTACTAAAACACCAAAAAATGGACGCCGAATGAAGAAACTTTGAGTAATTACTGCTGATCAAAGTTTCTTATTGAATATAAACGGTGGTATATACTTCACACCAGGCCCGTTATCTTAGCAAAATTTGTAAAATCCTTGACAACAATTTTGACATATCTTTTAAGAATATACTATTCCAGAAACAATATTCTACATATATTAAAGCAACTTCGGTTTTTGTTTAAATATCAACAAATCTGCCCAAAAGAAATACTTATTTTATTGCAAATTTGCGCTTTTCTCGGAGAATAACTTTCTGAGAATTTGGAGGAAAGCTCCCTTGTCCTTCTCTCTATCTTTACACTAATGAATATCATCACTATTTGTTATGATAGGTTGACGACAAATATACGTTTATGATTAGTATCAATACATATAAAAAGGAGGTTTAATACTATCAAGTGTCTTAGTTTTGGATTGTTGGAATTTGTTTTTACTTACTGTTATAACTTGCTTACAGTTTCACGTTTGCGCTTGTAAGTAATATTGCAGGGTTAATGTGCTCCACATGGCGCGTAGGGTAAGGTTCATGCTTAGACCCTTCTCGTTGATTATATCTTTAATCAATGTTTTGTAATGAGGAGCTTCAATGTAGGCATTGCCTATATGGATTTAATAAACAACAACAACAAGCAGATGGCAACTCACTCTCAGCAAACTGTGACGATAAGAACAGCATTCGCTTATCTGTGATGAGTGCCCTTCCTCCAATTTTTGTTGTAATCTCACTCCCTTCCCTGTTCGAGATTACAAGAGTCGTGAATTGCAGATGCGGGTCTCTTGTCAAAATCACTTCGTCCCTGTGAATAAGCCCTTGTAGTAGCTCAGTGTACGTCATGTTGCCCTGTAAATCACAGAAGGTGGCATTATTCCATTTGGGAAGTTTGCTGGAGACTTCATATCCAGAACACTAATGCTATCTTCTATTTAACAACAAACGCAAATAAAAAATTGTTCCCATGTCCATTTTTAAAGCACGCTGTCAATTCTAAATAACTTTTTGAAAAAGGTCCACAAAAACTATTCACAAGACCGTAGATTTCAATCTAACAAACAAGAAGACATGTTCACGTGGCAAGTCTAGTACTCATAAGTAGAATAAAAAAGTTCTACATAATCCTAGCACAGAAAAAGAAGCATTTGAGAAAGTCATAGCAGCCATGACCAAGAAGTCGACTATAAGAATGATGGGTCTGATTTAAGCGACAAGGATCGGGAGGGCCTTGTGTTAAATAATGATTAGAATTTTGGTGCCACACCCTTCATGTTACTGGAAAACGATTGAAACGTCCATTTTAAAATTTCTGCTTTTAACTTGTAGTTAAAGAAGATTAGAAGATAAAGTAAGTTTTTTTCATGATTTTGTTACTACTAACCACAAAAAATGCTTTTCAAAGAGTATAAGCAGAATTTACAAAAGGACACAAAAATATTTGGTGGTGTCTCCCCGGTAAACCCGTCTCTGTATTGGCTAGTGATTGTTGACGGTGAAGGACCACAAGTAATACTCCACAGGCTATGACTCACAATTTTTTCAGGTGGAGGGGTGGGGGGGGCGTTGTGCTCTTGGCAATTGCTAATTATGGAGGCCGACGGAAAGGGTAGAAAGAGGCTTAGCTGAGGGTTCTAAGATGATTTTCTTGTACATTTTTCATCATCTTTATCATTTATCGTTATTAAATATCTTGAGATGATTTTTATGTGTGAAACCAAGCATATGAAAAATTATTCTAAAAAATTGATAGTCAACTTATCTATTTCTGGGGGGAAGGGGTGAGCTGAGCAGGGCATGAAATCCCACCCAACAATGTGACCGGGCGGTCGCAGAAAATTTTTCATGAATAAAGCTCTGCAGGAAATTTTGGCTCAAGAATGTTTGTTATAATTTCCAGAATTATCGCAAATCCTTATAAATTGTTGCTATGTTGAATGATCGAAGGCATCTACCGTACATTACCTATCACAGTGATTTTAAACTGAATGCTTCTCCCAAAGATAGCATCTACCCCAATTTGATCTCCATTTGTACTTTTCCATCTGCATTCTAACAAACTTTAATATTCCGAGTGTAGATATTCTCACTAATTAGAGTGTAAATATTATAGCTAAGCCCCTATTCCAGATCAATTAGGCATTCGTGAAAAAAAATGATTTTGAAGTGATAGTAAACACCCATCTCTTTGTCAGTAGAAGCTCAAGCCCCGAGGTCTGTGCCTATGAATACTTCGTAGGGATCAATTTTCGGACAATTGTGGATTTCGGACAACTAGAGATTCAGAAAAAGATTTTATTTTCCGAACGAGAGTGGGATGTACAGTTTGCATAAAACTAATTGCGATAAAATGAAAATTATTAAGCTATTGCAATGAAGTGTCTTATCGTTGACTCTCATTCGGTATTAAGTCATTTTTGCTTTTTGATTAATCAATCTATTGCACTATGAAATGATTCATGCGCACGTTCAGTGATAAGAAAAACCATTTTTGTTACAAAAAATTGAAAAGTTTTCTGTTTTTGATTAAACTGACAAAACCAGTAATAAATTTAAGGAAACACAAAGGCAATACGCACCTTATTGGAGAAAAACCTTCCTTTGACATTTTGCAATAGGTGTTGTCCTGCCGAATGAAATGATTCTGATAGTTTCTCTGCTGACATATGCTTGAAATTTAAGCTGTTGTATAACATCTGCGAAGGCGGGTCCAGATGGGCCACACTGAAACCCATCGGTTCCATTCTAACGACGGGTGCTGGAAATTATGAATAAGAATTGAAATTATAGTTGCAAAACAAAGAGAAAGAATTCTAAAAAAAAATTTACAAGTGGAGGAGGGTGTAACTGAAAAATAAACAGCAAATTGTTCAAAGATAAAGCAACGAATAAGTGTCGCAGAACACCATTCTTAATCTGGGATATTGTTAATATGCATGTTTAATTGTCATGCCTATCGGTGATATAATTTAGGCCAATTTTAAACAAAATCTTTCCAAACAGATTTATACTGTAATATAAATTTAGAGGAAAAGCAAGTTGTATCTAACTCAACATGGAAGCAACATTTTAGAGTACATTACAATAGAAAGTACATTACAATAGAAAACCAACTTTTTGAGCATATGACAACCATCGTGAGTTCTTGAATATATTGCATAGCAAGAAACTAAACTCAACTAAATAGAATCTTAAAAAACAAAATTGTGTTTGTGGAGCGACATTTAATAGCGATGTAATATACAATGGTTACAAAACTTTAGTGTCGTCTTTTTTGAGTTATGCCAATTAGACGGACGAAACTAATAACGATAAAGCAAAGTATAAATAGCTATTGCACATCAACTAGGGAAGTAAATGTTAAATTGCCTCCAATAAAGTTGTTGGTATGTTTCGTTTTACCATACAACTGTAAAATGTAAATTCCAAATTGGTGACGTGATTTATTTTTTGCTCTGAATGTTTTAATGTTCTTTGAGTTAGGAGTTTGAACGGGCTCCTGCTTTGACACTATCAATTTCGTGCTTCTAATGATTAGAGATGTCAGACAAAAGGGCTTGAGATATGTTACAGCTTTATATAGTATTTTAAAAGATTGTCTTTTAGCGTGCAGTTTAACCGTGATGAACTTTTGGGTGTAAATAACCCAACGGGTCATGGCACCACTGATTCTCCCGTAACTATTCAGTTATCAGTCTCCGAATGTTATTGTTTCTAAATTCTGGAAAACTAATCAAAATGATTTGCTATGAGGTTTTAGGTTTTATTTTTAAATCATTTTCTCCAGCACCTATATTCTATTATTTAATCCTTACAATTTAGGGACAATATCACCGAATTCGTGCAATCCAAATAAAACAACAGGTTTCAGCTTAACAATAAATAGATATTTCCCTGTGCCTAAATTGCTCAATCTCTATAATTTAGAGACAATTTCCCATAGTTAAGCATTGTGAACAATATGAAGCTATATTTAAACCAGTGACTGTCACAAAACATCCATACATTTTATGGGTGAATTAGGGACCAAATCCATAAAAACACACAACATTTTTTTGGCATCACTGCTTAATTCATAGACAACTTAGAGGTATTTTATGGACATTTTAGGGTTAATTCGTGGCTACAAAAGTGATTGAACTTTTGGGACGAAAACTTCCTTACTCCGTAAAGTTTGTGGACAATAATATTTACTGCTTTGATTGTTTCGTTGATCGTTGGGAGTCTCTTTACTTTGATTGAGAGTTTTTTGGCTGATCGCAATTAGCGGGTTGTCCTGAATGGTGAATGCTCGAAATGGGTACCGATCTGGGCTGGTGTACCTCAAGACTCTGTCCTAGGTCCACTGTTCTTCCTTATCTATATAAATTACTTGATTGTTAACCTGAAATGTGATGTTAAGATGTCTGCGGATGACACATCTCTCTTCAAAGTTGTTGAAGATATGGGAAGATCTGATCATGAACTCGATGCAGATCTTGACTAAGTTCAATTATGGGCATGGCAATGAAAGATGCAGTTTAATGCAAATAAAACTGAGGAAGTTGTCTTCTCTTGTAAAAAAGAAAAACCATGCAATTCTCAAGCTGTACTAGGCAATGATATAATTGAAAAGAAATCACAACATAAGCACCTTGGCATGCAATTAGACTCTGAACTGAATTTTCAAAGCCATATCAAAGAAGCTATAGGTAAGGCAAGAAGGGGGATTGGGATGATAAGATACCTGTCAAGGTATGTTTCTAGGGATGTACTTGACCAAGTCTACAAATTGTATGTTAGACCACATTTAGACTATGGTGATATCATTTACCACAAATATGATCCAAAATGTGTTTATCATTGACGCAAAGGCTTTGGCTGTTACTGGGGCTTGGAGGGGTACAAACAGGTGGAGGCTTTTGAGGAATTAGGCCGGGAAAGTTTATATCAGGAGATGGTATAGGAGGCTGTGTCATTTCTTCAAATTATTGCTAGCTCGATCACCGGGATACTTGTTTGATGGAATTCCCCCTGAACGTCAGATTGGTTACAGTCTTAGGAATGTCAGCGATTACGAGGTACCTAGTGCCAATCGTTTTTCGAACACATATTCTTATAATACTTTGTACGAGCGGACTTTGTTAGGGGTGGAAATAAAAAAAATTCAGCATCCCTTTCTCAGTTTAAGTGCAAATTATTAAAATAGGCACAATAAGCGAAGAGAGACGATAAGCACTTTTTCCTGCACTGCCCCCAGTTTCATTTGATGCCTCAGAATCTCTTTGGTCAGCTCCCTCATATTCCTGACTTAACACTACATTTAGACGATAAATATTTGTGTGAATGGCTTCTTTTTGGAGACCTATAGCTCAATGTTGTTAGTAATCGAAAAATCCTTGAAGCAACGATTTCTTTTATCAAAAATACAAAAAGGTTTTCTAATAATAATTGAGCAGTAGCAGTGGCAATTTTTGTGTTATTCCCATTTTTTCATTTCTCTATTTGTGATAACTCAATGAGGTGTCTCAAAAGGAGTCATTTCTTTGGATCTAGCGTCTGCTTTACAGATGCTATAAGGTGTGGGAGTCTCTTTTGAGACTCCTGCTTGAAATTCGTTCTTTTTTCTTTTTATTTTGCTTGTTTAGTTTTTCTTCGTTGAAGTTATATTGTATAATTATTGTAAGTGGCTGTCGTAGATGGAACTCCCCGACAAGATATCCTTTTCATCTATGGCAGTCACAGGAGATCTCAATTTATTCTTGTAGTTAATATTACCTTTGGGTTAGAAAAAAAACAAAAACAGATATTTACGGCGAGCGCAGTTGAATAAGTCCATTAGATCAATGCGGTGCCCGAGATCAACTGCCAAGGCCAAATTTAATAAATGTTAAACACCACAACAACGACAATAGGCTTAATCACAGCTATGTCAAACTTATAATGAAAGCTACAAGAAATCATTTCAAAAGCATCAACATAAACTTTAATTTTTTCTCTGATGACTAGTGCTATTGCAAAACAAGACAAGCACTAACAGAAAAATCAAAGCACAAAACAAAATGATATTAGTAGAATATGAAAGTATAATCTCAAGCAACAAACTACTTTTTTAATATAACCAAATCATTGCACATTCCAGAAATTAAAGGTAAATAGTCGGATACATCTATTAGAGACATGGCAAATGATACAACCCTTTTATATGAAATAATCAACAGTTTTAAATATTAATCAAGTATAGTTACAACTGAACAAAAATCAGAGAATATAACCACATTTAACTTTAAGCATGTTTCAGTAAACGAAACGAGCTGAAATTAAATCCTTAGATACTAGGAAATCTACTGAGGACTAGACCAAGTACAAGCAAAAATACTCGAGTTGGCAATATCAGAAATTAAGCAGCCATGTACAAATATATTCAATAACCAAGAAACAGCCAAAAACTCAGGTTAGCAATATCATAAATTGAGCAGCAACTTACAAATATATTCAATGACAGCTTAGAATAATAAAGGTTCCAATCCAATCGAAAGAAAGCAGATACCACACCTATAGATAAGAAAGACTCGCCATCAGCAAGAAAAGCTTTAGACCTGACAGTACCCGGCTTGCTTCCACAAAATCTTTTTGAGAATCATTTTCAACCAATTATATGTGGGGTGGGGTGGAGTGGTGGTGTGTGACACTTGGGTATTGTTGCAAAAATGAGAATGGTGCTATAAAGGGTTGCTTCGATGGGGAATTTCAGACTTGTCGGCAAATAAAGGATGCCATTGGATATTGTTGTAGAAATGAGGAACTTTTGCTATAAAGGGGTGCTTTGATGGGGAAATGAAAATTGGAGGCGCCTAGAGACAGCCAATCAGGAGCTATCTCCAATTAGAATGAATTAACCTGTGCTAGCACAGTGAGCCTCGATGCGGAGAGGAGGTGAGAGAGAATTTCAAACTTGTCGCAAATAAAAGATGCCTCATCCACTCGCGCACAATAGTCAACGACGGCTGATTATACTATATGCTCTCTTCGCTCCTTTGTGGCTTTCGTAGGAACACAACATGCTCTTATAAGATATATTGAAGATCTCAAAAATTGCTTAGATGGAAAAAAGATTGAGGTTCATTGCCTTATGGATGTCTCCAAAACATTTGATTGTATCTCAAATGAACTCTTACTAATGAATGATGGAAAAAAGATTGAGGTTCATTGCCTTATGGATGTCTCCAAAACATTTGATTGTATCTCAAATGAACTCTTACTAGCGAAATTGGAAGCTTATGGGCTAAGTAGAGATGCATTATTATTAGTTCAAGACTACCTGCGAGGGCGATTCTAGCGAGTAAAAATGAATTCTTATTTAGCGAATAGAAAGAAATAAAAAAAGAGGTTCCCCAAGGTTCTGCCCTAGGTCCTTTTCTTTTCAACATTTTCAGTAATGACATATTCATAAACCTAGATCAAAGAAAATTGTGCAGCCATGCTGATGGCAATACCATATGATTGAAGGTACTGACAAGGAAGACATATCAGCTAAACTAGAACATGAAATGAATACCATAAACCAATGCTTATAGACTGCTATGCAGCTCAATGGAGAAAAATGCAAACTTATGATGATGTCAGCAAAACCAAACAATGTTGAAAAATGTAGCATTTATGAAAACAGGCAAATGGTAAAAGAAGAAGACAACGTGAAATTGTTGAGCGTAAAAATAGACAACCAATTAAAATATGATGACAATATCAAAAATTTGTGTAAAGAGGCAGGAAAAAGAATTAACGCACTTTCAGGAATAGCATGTTATTTAAACGAAGATAATCGAAAACTTTTAATGACAAAATTTGTTTGATGTTCTTCAATTATTGCCCCGTATTTTGGATGTATTTCACCAGGAAAACAAGAAACGTATTAACAACATTAATAAAAGAGCATTGCTGTAGCCTATAATTATTTTTCAACTAGTTTTGAACAATTAAGGACAACACAACCTTCCATACAGTACAAGGAATTAAAAGCATCTTGCAAAATTTACAGACTATATATTCATCATGAAAACCTAAGTTTAATGGGAGACATTTTTAGCATAATTGAATCACCAGCCAAGCACAATAGGATGTGGATAAGACAAATATTCTATAGAAAAACAAAAGAAACACAGGTGGCTAAGCTGAATGTTTATGCGGAAGTGTCAATCAATTGCACAGAGTCGTTTCCCATAGAAATCACCTCTCATACAAATATCAACATTTTTAAAGCGAATGTTAAAATTCTTTCAGTAATTCGTTGCTCATGCTGAATTTGCAAATCATTTATGCAGTCAGTTATTCTCGTTTATTACTGTCACTTTCATATGATAACGATCAATGTAAGTAAATTGTACCAGGAAAATTTATTTAAAATAATTAACGACGTTTCGAGCATAGCCCGTAATTGTCTTGATAACGGGCTATGCTCGAAACGTCGTTGATTATTTAAAATAAATTTTCCTGGTACAATTTACTTACATTGATCCTTATTTAAATTAATCATATTTTACCGCACGCATTTTAGTATATTTACTTTCATATGATGTTTGATTTGTTAATAAAATTAGTCGGTTTTAATTAGATTTCAATATCAATATAGCTACCAAGTGTTGTATGTTGCCTACTTAAAAGCAAGTAAAGAAAGCAAAATCTCCAGGAAACAACGCGAACTCGAACTCTCTTAGCTACATTAAAAAGGGTTTTATGAACGCAAGGGTTTTCTAGCAGGAAATATGCACAAGGAGCTCTGTCAGAAAGAGGTTTCCTATGATGCAAATTGATGACTAAGCAGAAATAGGACCTAGAAGCGGTATGCGGAAGTATAGTGCCATTGTCTACTTTGTGATTAACGATTTAATTATTCTTGATTATCGATGGATGCAAATAGATGCATTATTTGATTATTTTTTTGTTTACTTCGTTAAAGGTTAGATTGAATATACTGCTATGCCATTGAATAACATGCATAATCTTTATTTAGAAAAACTGTTCTCTTCAGAAATGGCAGCTTCTACCTGTCATGCTTAGTTAATGCAAACAAGCTATGCGGAACTATTGATGAAATGATCGACATTACCGGGCTGCCCTCGATTGAGCGGCGCCCACAAAACATAGCCTGCGTACAGATTCTACGGAGGAGAAAATTCTCCCCTTCTGTTTTTTCTCCTCCGCACACTCGGCACACAGGCCAGTCAACCCATGTAGAGATGGTTTTAAATGATGGACGCAAAACTTGCTACTTTAAGAGAAGAAACTTTCGCATAAAATATAAAGTTTGCGATATTTTTTCCTGCAAGTCTCTGAATTTAAAAATCACAAATTTTCATTTTCGCAAAAAGTTAACTTCAAAGACCCGGCCAGTATGTTTTCTGCGAGATAATTTGCTACACAAGAAAAAAAATTTAGGAAATTATTGTTCGCTGCAACTTTCATTATGATGTCAATCATTATAATATGCAATTTATAATACCCGGTCCCATAATTTTAATCGAAAAAGTATACCCTACCCTGATCCACAGCACAACCTGTCAAGTATGGGAGTTCCCTCGGTGGAATAGATACGGAACCATTGTGAAATATGATATCGATTATTTTGGGTCTTTTCTTCAGTCTTGCTTTTCTTTACACTGATTATACACTGATTAGCAATGTTCGAATTCCTGGCTTTGGCCAATAACTTTGGATTTGTTTGAGGAGGCAGTGTTATCTTTTTTTTACGTTTCTTTGCGGGGGGAACTGGTCCAGATGCCACAGCAAGTATATGTATCGATGATGATTCGAAGATATTGCAAAGTTTTACAATTCACCCAATCCACGAAAGTATTTCCCCGCTAAATCACAAAATGAGGCCGTGAGTCGAATTGGTGTATTACCGACAAACTCACGCAGAATTGGGCTTGTCCCACCCTTCTACATCCCCCAATAGCTACGATCCCACTCACATGCAGATCTAAAGGGTTTGAAGGTCTGGTTAGGCCTATTATTCTAATCACAAAAGGTCTTGTAAAATAAATACTGGAACCTGGCAGAGGAATTTTTGGACTTCAGGACATTAAAACAATGCATTGTACAAATGTTGAAATGTTGCATTGTTGAAAGCGGCTCGGAAAGCGGCTAGCAGGCTAGGTTACCATTGTTCTTGATTTAAATTTTACTTTTGTAGTTACTAAACACCTTTTACTGATGTTGCCATAACTGGGAGTTCTAGACTATAAACTAAGGGGATTATAACACAATCAACTATTGTTTGTATGTTAGTTTTTGGTAAGCCTTCATTTTATATGTTGTGGCTGTGGAGTATATGTCACTTTGTCATCTTCGTTTGCCCGTTTACATAAATGCTATATTTTCAACAGGTTTGCCTCGGCTGAAATCTTTACAACCTTGCATTTGTCTCCATTGAGTTTCATAGCATTTTCTATTATAATGTGCAGTGAGTTTTGCTACCATTCAGTCATCCTAATGGCCTACGGCGTAGTTTAAATAAATACACGGAAAAGTTAAAGTACCTTCCATTACGAGTTCTTCTTGCATGCTTTTCTTCTGTCAGTGCCCTTCCTCGTTATCCTCCTTGTGGTAAAGGTCCTTTTCAATAAAATACACGCTTATAAAAGAATTAAAACAATGGATAATTTCTTTAAGGCTGGATGCTTTCAAGTGTCACGGCCGAGCAACTTCAATCGTTGAAAACTACTTCTTTGAAAAAAACACAGGTTCACCGCATGTAAAATTATTGTTTGATTTCCCTGTGGTAAATCAGTGTCGATCATTTTCTATGGTGTCGACAATGGCAATGCCCTTAAATGGTCAATCGTATTAACCTAGTCGATAGAAAAATCCCTTGTCGAAGTACTTTTGCTTGAGTTCTTTAGGCTATTTCAATTCATCGTTAAAGATAAAATCTTTTAACTTCATCAATCCTGGTTCCAAAAGAATAAATCAATTTCCCTTCCCTTGCTATACTTGATCTATGCACAAATCTTATAAATGCCGAAAAGAAAAAAATATCATGCTTTACCTTTTTGAGCTTTGCGAACTCCATGTATAACGTATCTAGTCTTATTCTATTCAATTTCATTGAAATGTGACACAAAATCCGACGTACTTGTGTCGAATTTGCGTCGCATTTGTGTCGCATTCTTGATAATTAGATTTGACACGACACAAATCCGACGTCTAAACTGATCCTTACTACTTAGAAAACTGGAATACTGTAGAATTAGAGGCACCTGTACAACCACGGAGTTTACGAGGGTTTTACAGGCTTGTGTTCGCAGATTCGGCAGTAAAAGAAAGTACAAATCTCATTAAGCGTGTTCTGATTTCTTGGCTCGACGGTTCTTATAGTTTCAACCAATTCAACAATGACTAAACGGGTCACTTCGGCAAAACTGGCATGCTTCAAATTTCTCGAAATAAAAACGGCTATCCGAACATCTGAAATCACGTCTAAACTCTAGCGACTACATTCAACGACTGAATTACTCAAAAAGCCAACAAATACCTTACTCAACAACAATTAAGATAATTAGGACAGTTATACAAAACAGAACAAAGGAGCTGATCACAAGACAGGATGTTGCATGGAAATTGGCCAAGGTGCGAACGAAAGTCAAGCACGCAAATGAAATTCAAACAGCAAACAAGCAACAGTTTCCTTGACGAAATTCTGTCCTTTTACACACACCCTTGAATTGGTTTCAATCTTATCTTAACGACAGAGCTTCATGCGTCTCTGTAGGTGGTGAACTTTCTGGCAAGATGCCTGTTCAACATGGCGTGCCACAGGGGAGTGTTCTTGGACCGCTTCTATTTCCCTTATGCATAAATGATCTACAAAATGCATCAAGCATCATGAATTTTTAATTGATTGCAGGTGATACCAGTCTTTTCCATTCAAAAGAAAAAGAAAATATCGAAATGCTAGAGAAGGTTGTTTACTCTGAATCGAAATTTCTCACAGGCTAATTGCAAATCGTTTGACGCTGGACACATCAAGAGTTATGATAGATTCTGATAGTTAAACCAGAAGAAACTACCTAAAAGCATTAACTTAGAGACAAAAACCATAACTTTCGCGATGCTAGAAGCATCAAATATCTAGAAACAAATTTCTTATATTAATAGTTTAAAAGTCTAGGCATCCTAACTAAACCGAGATAAAACAAACCCAAGAGTGTCCTTTTCAATAAATACAATGTATTTATTACACCTCATCTTAGGCCTAAGTTTAACGCCGCTATACAGTTAGATGCGACTGTAGCGCAACTGTGGAGTGACAGGGAGTTAGACGCCGCTCCTAACATGTCGTATTTTACCTCGTTGATCGTATCTTGGTAATTTTCAATTGGAAATCATTCCTGCTCATGCATTTCCTTGTTTAAGCCAAAATAAATTACTATACCTATTCGCAATTTATGCATTGAGCTCGGAGCATCAAAATGCAATTTTTAATACCCCATTTCAGCTAACGGCCTCGCTTTGGAAATTTCTCCAAACTTCTTTATACGACTTTTTAAGGCTCAGATTTGGTTTTGTCACCATAATTTTATGCTGGTCACAATTTTCCATATTGTTTGTGCTTTTATTTTAGATTTTACGGAGAAATGAAGTTTGAAAACTTGTAAGGTATTTGAGCGCAAAAATCACCCCGGGGGAAACTTTACCTACCCCTCCTTGTCTCCAATCAAGGTCAAATCCTTTATAAATTTTTTATCTTTATGTTGTCATTAAATCAATATCGTGAGCAATACCATAATGAAAACTTTCTAGTAGACTAAAATCCTTGCTTTCAATCCAAATCTGAGGTTAAAATTTTGTACAAAAGAATTTGAAGAATTTTTCAAAATGAGGCCGCAAGTTGTATTGGTGTAATTTGAGGTTGTTCCAGAGCTGCATAATGTGAAAGGAATTGTCTGGTTTCCATACTGCTCGACCTGATAGTCATAAATAAGCATGATTAATAGTCATAAATTAGCATGATTAATTTTTTCAAGTGAAGGGTTAGGGTTAGGATAAGGGTTAAGGTTAGGTTTGGGGTTAGGGTTAGGATTAGGTTTAGGGTAAACTAATTACGGCATCAGGTCGAGCAGTATGGAAACTAGACAGCTCCAATGTGAAAGGGGCAGTCGCGCCAACTACATTCTGCTGTACTCAATCAAATGAGTCGAATTCAATCAAGTTAAACGTTCCTATTTTCATGCGCCATATTATAGGAATAGACGTTCGACCTTAAAAAAGCCTCAAAGAATTGTTTGCTTTAAAAAGCAAAATGAACACTGCAAACTAGCATTCAAAGAAGTAAATGCACTAAACTTGCAAGACACGCTCAAACTTCTCGCTTGAAAGGAAATGGTTTTAGGAAGTTTCACACTGTTGTTCAGAGTTACAGTTTAAAGTACCTCAGCCTCAGTTTGTTCTTAATTTGTTTTTATTTTTTGACCAATTCAAATCAATTAAAAGTAATCAATTTGGAGGGTCGTGTTCTTATAGAATTGTTCTTATGAAAAAAGGTTTTGTCAAAAACTGTAACCAAGCTTCATGATTTATAAGGAATCTGAGAGGTGTCAAATAACAAGGGCCCAAGAGAGGGGGGCAAAGGGGCAAATTTCCCACGAGCTTTAAGGCGCCATGTGGCCTTATAAAGTAATGAATTCAATTTTCAAGAATGGGAATTCAATGAAAGGGACCCTACGTCTTTTGAAGGGCAATAAACTCTTTTATCAGCTCCTAATGCTTCTTACGTCTTTGATTAAATTGTTTTCGATGAAAAAATCTGAAAGTCCTCCCTACTGAAGGCATAGCTTGTTCGACTTCTTGCAGTTACAGTAGTGGAGCCATTTAACCAAAACATCACGATGATAGAAAATATGATATCATGCTGTTTTCGCCAGCACATTTGCATTATGTTTATTCTTTCGAAAAGGCCCCACAGTGGCCTAGACATTTGGGGTAAAAGTAGCATTTTGCTCCTCAGTGGTGGGGGAAGTTGTAGGGCCTGGTGGGGTGATTCCCTCACCACTGAGTATGTTAAAAAATGCCCTGGTAAACAGAACGCCTAAGTGAACTCAAATGGATACGGATCTTTTTGGAACCGGTCTCGTGTAAACAGTGTCTTTTTCGATCCTGATTAGATGGGGGGCCTCGATAACCGGGGGAAGGGGTTGGATCATGGGCCCTAAATTAGCAGGGGCAGTCGTGTCTATTTGCAAAACCAAATGATGTGTGTAGGGCGCTAAAGGATTTGAAAACCTGCAGACAGCGAGACAACGCAGTTATGTGTGTTTGTAATCTTATTTTAATTCGAACTACACGTTTTTTATAAGAAACCTAGCTTGGGTCCTAATACTTAAAGTTTCTTAATTTTTCACCAGTTTCTAGCACTAAAAGTTTCTTAAAAGTTTCTTATTTTTAGTTGAGCAATTAACATCAAATTTTGCGCTTTCTCTCGCATATTAATTGTACTAAAGTTTATAACACAACAGTAGGATTTGATATCGAATCTCTTGTTCATTATCCTTATAGAAACAGGGGTACTTTTTATCGAGACACCCAGTACATACAGTGTGCTTAAATTGTTGTAATACGGGAACAGCCTTTGTGAGATACTCGTCTTGAATACCCGAAATTGAACAACGTTGCTTGCTTGCTCTCATTTTTTATAAGAAACAAAGGTCGATGTTGAGTACTCAAGTTTCTTAATGTTCTGGAAATTTCCATACTCATTGTTTCTTAAGAGTTTCTTAATTATGATGTCATGAATGATGTTATGAAATGTTCGTGACCTTTATTCCGCTTCAAGAGATTCGCTTCGGTTCCGATGCTGTATTTAGATGTGGGAAGTATATTTTTATCCCTTGTGTCTTAAGTTCTAGGCCAATAGGGCAATCTTGTTCTTGGATTTTACAAAATTTTGTTGTTCTCAGTTTTATCACGATTTAATAGTTTCTTAATTTTTTTACTTTGAGTACTGAAGTTTCTTAATTTTTTCTAAATGTCCAGTACTCGTTTCTTAGAGCCAGTGTCTTATAAAAAAAATGAGTGTTTCCGACATTATTGTCAAACAGTAAATGTAAAAGGGTGTTTTGTGATGGGGTTGGGTCGTGAAGATACAAATTTTGGAAATCATTATTTAGTGGAAACAGAAACTGTCATATTTGACATGCATAACATATAAAGAATTTTTCGTAATTTCATGGGCGTCTTAGTTGTGTGTTGGTGTGTGCCAAGGAGAGAAGCTAGAATGAAAGCGACAAAATGTTTGGTCAAAGTAAAGCAAATAGACAGAAAGTTGAATGTTCGGAAAAAAAGGATACATAAAATACCACAGTGAAATGATGGCTGCTTGTTGTAATATTCCTTACAAGATAGTAGGAGCACCTTAAAGTCCCTTCGCTTTAGCAAAGAAATGTAAATCCTGTCAATTTTAGCAAAGGAAAGATTTTAGGAAAAGTAAAGATCCTGTCAAAGAAAATATTGTAATGATATATAAGCAGCTTTTAAATTTCCATTGATATTTGACTTTGATGTTTGTCATGCTAAAGATATAAAAAGTTGCAAAATTTCAGTCCAGGTAGAGCCAATAGCAATACCATTTTCTTAACGAAGCTATTTGTCGTTCAACCAATAATTGGAAAACAACATCAACCCACGTCATGCTCTGATTACAAGATCACATGACAAAGAACAACTTAGATAGTTTATAGAGCCCCCTGGTAAAACATTTGCTACTACGCCTCTCCTTTACAGTGCCCACAGATGCCAAGCAAAATGTTTTCGTTCGCCGAACACAAGAAGCTAAGTGCCACGAGAAAACATGAGTGAATCATGTTTGATATTCGAACGTTTTACCACGAGTGACTAAATTCTCTCAAACTGGCCACCTCACACAGGACCATTTTGTTTAAGCAAAAAGGCGTCTGCTGGTAATTAAAATGTATCTATTTAGAACATATTATTTAATAGCTTGGTAATAATAATAATAATAATAATAATAATAATAATAATAATAATAATACTACATGTTTATACAGGATACGCCTTTTCAGTACAATTAAAGTACTCCTATCAATAAGGGTCCTGTTTAAAGAAACTATTGACAAAGTTAAAATATAATACGATTATCGTGCAAAGCTAAGATAATCTATTTTGCGTTTGAAGTTTACAAGGAAAGATTCGTTCTGAAGGTCGGATGACAATCCATTAAAAATTAGTGCTCCTTGAAAGGCAAACGTTTTTCTTCCTGCTTCTGTTTGACTCTTGGCAATATAAGACGTGAGCCGTTTCCTTGTGTATCCTTGCCATGATTAAATTGCTGAAACATGTTTCGCAGTAGTGGATGGCAAGAATCATTTAAAGACTTAAACACGTCGATCGATACTCGTTTTTTCCGGATTTGATCCACTGTGTCCATCTTCAGGGTCGTGTTCTTAGTACGAGCTATGATCTTATGGGCTCTGTCTTGGATTGACTGCAGCTTTTTCTTGGCACTTTCACCTACGCTTAGATAAATGGGATAGCAGTAGAGTAGCACAGGCCTTATCGTAACGCTATTTATTTTCTCCACAACAAGTGGAGAGATGTTGGGACGAATTCTTTGCAGGAGTTTTACCCGACTTGAGGCTCGCTTGTAGATCTTGTCCATTTGCATACTCATTGTTAGGTGACTGTCAAGGGTGATTCCCAGATATTCATAGCTCGTAGTTTGGTTTATCGGAGTGCCATTCAGAGAGACATTACATGACGGTTGTTTCGCTAGTTTTTGATTTGTACCGTAGATAACGAGTTCAGTTTTGCCTTTTTTGAGATTCAGTATTAGATTATTGTTCGCAAACCATTTACCAACTAAGTTTAATTTAAAATTAATAGTCTTAAGCATAAGGGTCCTTAAGCAAAAAGGCGTCTGCTGGTAATTAAAATATATCTATTTAGAACATATTATTTAATAGCTTGGTAAATTTAAGATTAATAGATGGCACTTAAAAGGAGATGCTTTACATTTGTATCGACACAATGGAAAATGATAGACACGGATAAACCACAGGTAAATCAAACAATGATTTCAAATATGATAAGCTGGTGTTATTTCAAAGAAGTAGTTTTCAACGAAGCACTGGGGCAGTAGTGTTTCTTTAAATTGAAAGCATCAAACCTTGGAAATTATCCGTGCTTTATTCTTTATAAGTAAGTATTTTATTGAAAAGGATCCTTACCACAAGGAGGATATCGTAGTAGGGCATTGACAGAGGAAAAGCATGGAAGAAAAAAAACGCAATGCAAGGTAAGTAAACTTTTCCAGATATAGTTTTACCTTTAAACACACAAAAATAAATGCACATGTAGAAGACTCCCAATACACCTTGCTACGCACTACATAACGGAACACTACATAACGGAACTCATTGTCCCAGTGCCTGGTCAAAACTACTTCTGTGAAGAAACACAGGCTCGCCGTATTTGAACATATTAGATCACCACTATTCACGTGCATTTCCGGGTAGACACTTGCTCATTTTGATCATTCGTTTATGTTCACACATGTAGAAAATTGTTATGGACACCCTATGATTTCTTAGCATGTGATTGCTGGGTGTAGTCAATCAGTTGTCACTTTTCTGCAGAGCTAAAGAAAAATTTTAGGCAAAAGTGGAAATAAGTGTAGTATGATTCTGTAAGTAACTTTGCCTAGTATTCTTTTAAATGTGTCCTTAGCTTTACCTTAGGTTATTATGTCTTTACCATAGAAGACATCAGGGGCGGACTGGCTGGTCGGGCTATTTGGGCGATCGCCCGAAGGGCCGATTGGTTTGAGGGCCGGTTGATAAAAGTGCAAAAAAATGAATTAGCTTAAAAAGTGAATGCGAGGCAAAAAAGTATACCCACGCGTTGATCTTTTTGCCTTGAATTTTCAGAGGGCTTTGTGGGAAAGAATAAATATACACGCGAGGACTCCAAAACCATGAAAATTATGAATTCATTATTGTCACTGCAGCCCAAACACACTTCTTCAGGGAACATGTTATTGACATTTTGTTATATTTTCTATTGACGGTATTTCTTTTTTGGCGATATATTATACTGTAACATCCCTTTTTCAATGCGATACATAAAGCCCCGGCAAGACGACTGGACATTTGCACTGGTCACACACTAGACATCTCATATTTCAGAGTATGGACATCCAGAAAATATTGGTTATGGCAAAACGACTGAACATTGTCCAGTGAACTTTTTCCCTGTTGAAGAATGCGGGTGGGAAAACTGGCAACAGGACATCTCTTTACCTTTGATAATACACTTTTCATAGCCCTAACCGTGTTATCGTATGAATTAGAGTGCATTATTGAAAAGTGGCTAGGACTGCTAGGTTCATCAAAATCACCCTCCTCGTGCTCTCTGACATCGCTTTCCTTATCGGAACCAGGGCCGTAAATCCCGGTGGGGACGGGGGGGACTGGACCCCCCCCCAAAAATCTGGAGCAAAACGATTTTTTGGAGAAATTACCATCATTTTCCTTGAAAGAAGGAAATTCCTGGTAGCCGGGTTAGAACCAAACTACGTTTTCTGTGTTATTGCAACAAACCTCAGCCACCAAGGTTATTTTTGTAAGCAGAGTGGTTTTTATAATTTTTACAAGATAAAAATTTACCGTTTTCTACCGTTTTTACTGTTTTCTACCGTTATATTTTTGAAAACAGAGTATGAAATAAAAAGAGAGCAATCTGTCATTTTATTTGACCTATTTACTAACTTATTTACGTACATTTCTATTATTTGTCTATTATTTACTTTTATTTAGTAGATCACTTTTTGTATCATTAAAATGTATTCATTTTTGATGTGTAAAATTGGCCTACACAATGTGTGACAATGGCCTAAAATGGCCTGAGAAACGTTGAACTTTCTATCCTGAGCGATTCTAGTATTTTATTAAATTTAGTCTGGGGGATGCTTTTTTAGCCTTTCTAGAAGGTAAAATTTCAAAAATGTTCTTCCGCCTCGGACCCAACCATGGTGGGTCCTCCTACGACAGTAAACTTGATTTATAGCTCCCAAGGTTCAATTTCTTGGATCCGTCTCTGAAAAATGTTATCCATCCAATCATACACACAAGTCAATGTACTAAGGAATATCTGTAAATACCTTCTATAGAGCAGAAAGTCTTGAGAAATCCAAAAATATTGACTTTTGTTTTTAAAGTAATTTTCCCCTCAACTGTTTCCATAACACATACCAAAAATCCCTTGTGGTGCCATGACCCACTGCATACTTTATATTCATTCGCTCTGCTGACCCCCCCCCCCCCCCAATTCACATGACAGATTTACGGCCCTGATCGGAACTAAAGCTAATCTGATCAGAAGACTCGTCGTTACTAATGAAATGCCTTTTTCTGCTATTGGTCGAATTGAATTTTCACGTTGTTTCCATTTCGTTCGCGGTGTTGACTAGGAAAGTTTGTTGAAGATTTAAAAATGGGAAATAAATTGACGTCAAATCCAAACCATTAATCGTGCGCGAACTGGACAATGTTCAGTAGAGTGGCAAAACGACTGAACAATTTCTGTACAACATCAGTGAACAAAAGAAATCTAATCCTGTCCACTGAACATTTTTGGCTGCCTTCAAAATCGACTGAACAACATTTAACATCGCTGAACAGGGTGGCAAAACGACGCAACATTTATGCTGGCAAGATTTTAACCTGCCCTGATGTCTTTTTACTTAGCTTTTGCTTGAAGCTGGTCATGTTTTTCCCTAAGCACAAGCTATTTCTAAATGTAATAAATTTAAAAGTCCAAAAATTAGAGTTCACTAAGCGATTTGCTCTGTGATGTGAAGCAATGAAGAGGACATACGTAGATCAAGGAAAGAGCAAGAAGTCTTCAACAACCAAAGGTGGTGCAGAGAAATTTCGTGAGGAAAAGCTGCGAGACTTAAAAAAGGATTCAGCTACGAAAGCTTTTTTTATCAAGCAAAAGCCACAAACGTCACAAAAAACAGCAGGGTCTTGCTCTTGCTCCTTTCAATAAACTCATACAAGTTATGGTAAATTTATTAGGCATATACTATCATAAGTCAAATGGACCCCCGCCCAACAGGGGTATGGTGCTACACAATAAAATTTCAACAGGGGTGCCCATGTTTTCTTTTTGGGGTCAGAAATTGAGAAATCGATATTTTTGGGCTGCTGAAAATCATTGTGGTTTTCCGGAGGATTAGAAAATTATTTGTCACAAGTTGAGTGTGATAGAAGCTTTTCCACTTTAAATATATAAAAAACAGATTACGCGGTAATTTTTCGCAGCCAAACCTGGAGTCCTTCATGTTAATGTTCTTTAAAAAACACCTGTTAGATGACATCTAGAACGATCACATTATCAACATATAAGTTACTGTATTTAGAAAGAAAGTCAAACCAATGAGTTAAAATTTTTGTTTATTTACTATTTAGTCGGCAAATGACATATTTAACATGCTCTGTCAACATGGTCCATTAACCAGCATTTACCCATGCACAAAATTACTGAATTTAAAAACTTGTTTTCCTTACAGACTAACATTTACTTTAGCATTTTCCGAGGAGTTTTTTAATTGCTATTTTTGTGGGCCGGTTTGATCAAAATTTGCCCGGGACAAAAAAAATTAGCCAGTCCGCCCCTGGAAGACATACATAAAATTGAATATGGGAATTAGATCGAAAAAATTGGTCATTGTCTAAGTTTTACAACGAGTAACAGCTTTACTTACCAAATAGATCGAGAAACCTAGTCAAGAATAACTTGGTGCCAGCACAAATTGACGGAGTTTCGTTTTTTCCATTACCTAAACTTGGCACACAAGGTCTATTTGTTAACGAAAACTTTCTCAGAAACATTACAAGAAGAGAGAAATCAGCTGTTGAAGGAAAAGAAACAGCTGGAAAGAACTTTTTTGAGAATATGAGAAATGAAGTAAGGGCAGATTTGTTTTTAAAAAGCATCATCAAGAAAACTTCAGAGATTGATCGTTTGGATATTCCATTCCTACTAAGAAAGAGAAAATATCGACGCAATTATAAATTCTATTTAAACTCATTTTGACAAGCCCAGTTTGAAGGCTTTTTAAATTTTTGTTAAAGCACTTAATTTCCCAAAAAGTCCAGATCAGATGTTAAAAAGTTATATTTTAACTGTACAAAATTGCTTAACTTTTTATTTTTAGTTGATAGTTTTCCTGTTGATATTTCAACGTTAATGTTTTTTATTAATCTGTGTTTCATTTATTTTTCTCCCCCATCTTATTTCGGGTACTTTCAAAATTTAAAAAAGGTTTCATTACGAGCTATATGATAGTGGTTATTCTAAAACTTTGCAAAACTTCTCTATTTCAAGTCAACATCACAATAGACGCGGCTATGCGAAACCGTCAGACGAATTTCATTTCAGATACAGTTTCTGGCCACCCTTAAGATACCCTGGGTACCAGACTCACTATGTATAAAATAAAATAGAGTCTGGTACCCAGGGTATCCCAGTCTGGTACTCTATTTTATTTTATATATAGTGAGTCTGGTACCCAGGGTATCCCTAAGACACCATAATTCTAATTTTTTTCTTGCCGCTAACAATGGTGGCGGCCTTTCCTAAGCCCTTGTAAGACTTTGATATTTTGACCCCTCTACTTTTAAATATGTTTTGAAGGCCTTGCAGGGAGAGTCAAAATTCGCAAATTTCTTGGTCCTTCGGCGGCAACAATGGTGCTGCCTCGGGTAGTAACTACATCCTTTGCCCATCCCGATATACAAATTTGACAAAGCTATTAGAAAAGTCAATTGCAATCATATAAATGGAAAATGCAAGTCCTGTCCAAAAGAAAGAAAGAAATACATAATAACAATTTAAGTTTAGTATATGAAATGTTAAGATGTTTAAAATGTTAAGAGATAAAAATTGTGAAAATTTAAAGCTATTTAATCTTTTTGTATTTCTAAGTGCAGATGTCTCTTGTCTTTAACTGTCTACTACTGTTTTCTTGAGTGAAGATGTCTACAACTATGAGACGAAATTTCGAGCCTTAATCTTTTTCCTCGTGTCTATCATGAACATGCAATTTTAGACAGAGCTGTTGAGAAAAAAACCTTAAAATGTTTCGGGTAGTTGGTAGTTCTCAAAATCTGTTCTCAAGAAACTTTGCTAGCAGCTTTAAAAGTTTCTTAAAATCAATCAATTATAATGTCCTCGATTTTCTTCGGGTCACTAGGATCAATGGATAACCCCTGGGACATCACACCCGTCGAG